GGAAGCACCCGTCCATCAAGTGACCTTTGAGTACGACAACTCCGTCCGTATCTCTCGCTCTGCCTCGAATCTTGCGAGCGAGCGCGCAAAAATCGCGAGACGCGAATTCGGGCGATCCGCGAGAAGACGCTTGAATTCGCTCCCGGACCGGCAAGCGGGACCGGGATTCCCCATCGCCGGCGGAGGGAGGGGGCAGTCCTCCTCCACGACGATCTCTACAACGATCCTCCCCCTCGATCACGAGGCTTCATCCCGGATGGCTCCAGATCTCTGGAGCCTGGTCGCCTCGGGGCGTACGAGAGTTACTTGAACCCGGCCTGACCTTTCTGGTTTTATTAGCCACGTCGGCTTAGGTATGCCTCGTCATCTCTCGCTCCGAGGAGGCTCGGAGATGCTCACAAAGACGTGCGCGCGCGCGCGCGCGCGCAGTGGAGGCGCATACCTGCGGGGTCCTCCCAGGCGAGCATCCTATCCGAGAATTATGCAAACCGATCCGCGCCTCGCAGCTCTCCGCCAGTCCGCCTGGCTCTGAGAGATCGCCCGCCGCCGCCGCCGCCGCTGACGCCGCCTCCGCGCTTCAGATGGATCGATACGGGGACTCGGCTACTTCGGCTACTACCTGGCGGGCGTGACGCCACGAGGATTCGATCTCGTTTCGAAACCCCGCTGGGTTTTTTCCATTTTAACGGCGCTGTAGCGACGCTCCTTCGGACGAGTATCGCAACGAGTGCGCGGGAAACGGGGGACCGACGTCGTAATCATTTATGACACCCAATATCGATGTTCAAGGCCAGCTGCGCGGCTTAGATTTAATGTCTCATTATGCGAATTGCTTTACGCGAAGATTCGTCGTCCATCAACTTTCAAACCCGAATGTCGTCCTACCTGTCGAAATAATCCTGATGACTCTCGTTCGCACAACTGTAGCGCGTTTAACGTCATCGCAGTCGCGGCACGTGTTCATTTCTATCTCATTATCGTAAAATCCTTCCCCCCCCTAAAATAGCAAGATATTCCCCATTTTTTTTAGTCAAGATATAGCAAGATACAAACGCCCTTCGTCGTTTCGAAAGCCGTCGCGGATCCTCGCCCGTCGTCCCGAGGCCCATAAAATGTCTATCGGGTGTGTAGAAGAGACAACATCGTGGAGTATCGCGCAAATGGACGCGATAACGGCCTGCGAATGCGCCAAGACCCACGCGAACAATCGCAAAGTAGCCGGAATGGACGGCTATCGTGGCTGTCGACGAGCCGTTTCATGCGCGCAATTTCATGCCAGTCCATGTGCGATCTGATCCTCAGGCGCAGGCGATGTCGCCGTGGAAAATAATCCTCTCATAATTCGAGTTCGGGAAATCAGTCATGCTGCTCGATATTCGTCGCAGGAGCCGCAGGACACTCGACTTTTACGGACTGCTCGGCTCGCAGAGCGCGTCGGTGACGAAAGATGAGGCGCTTAATGAAAATTGCGAATACCGCTTACTCGACGACATTTCGCACGTGTTATTTACTACATTGTACCGGCGAGCTAGGTAGACATGTAGGTAGCTAGGTAGGTAGGTAGGTAGGTAGGTAGGTAGGTAAGTAAGTAGGTAGGTTGGTTAGCGAGGAGATAGGCAGGCAGGCAAGTAGGCAGGTACACCGAGTGAGGGAATTGCTGGTAAGCTTCAAGTTTACCTTACGTTACGTACCGCATTAAGTCTCGGGAAGTCGAGTTTGCTGTATACGCGCATTACTCCGCAACAACGTCGCCATTAGCTCTCGGACACACTAAGGACTGGCTTGTATCCACATAATCTGTACTCGGATTCCCGGATTCCGCCGTTCCTTTCCTGCCTGCGATATTATGCATTGCGTAAGGGCCGGCGAACGTTGCGCTCGCCGGCAGCCGAACGTGATAATTATTAAAGTCCGTGTTGATTTATCGTTGATTTATCTGATCTGCGGAATCATCGCGCGCTCATCGCGCGGCCGATGCGAGCCGAGCGTGCATAATCATAGGTCGCCGCCGAGTGTGTAAATGCGCGAAAGCAACTATGCGCGTCTGTAACCGCGCGCGTATATAGATCGCGCTTGGCTGCGAATTATCTGGTCCGTTCTTTTTCTAGCTGCACTATCGAACCGGCGGCGATAAGTTAAAGTGACAAAAAATATAGTTGTCTCATTCTAACTTATTGCACTGGTTCCGCAGTGCGGCTAAAAAGAACAGACCGATGATCGCAAGTCGCCTGAGTACACGGAGACGAGGAAAAAGATATGAAGAAGAGAAAAGAGAAGGAACAAAGAAAAGAAAACGGCGGAGCGTACAATTCGCAACGAGCGCCGGAGGAAAGTGAGTCAGCGCGCGCGCGCGCGCGTGTTGAATTGTTATTATCATAAATTTGGCGACGGCGCGACGCGGGGCTCATTAGCGGGACTCGAGCGCGCGGTGTAATTTATCGGTCGATTAACGCATCGGCGCGTGTCTGTACCGAATACGGTAAACGCACTCCGGTTAACCGGCCGGGCCGCCGATGACATAAGTTTTGACATTTACCGCTCCGCGATGCTCCGCGACGGCTGACACTCCGACGGGACAGGCCGAATCGGTAAGTAATGACGCGCTTCTCAGCCCGTCGCCCGTACGATAATCGACCGTGGAAAATGATGAATAGCCGTATTCCGCGGCGGCGGCGGCGGCGGCGCGCGGGCACGCGCGCGTACAGCGCGCGCTTCGACGCGCGTTGGAATGAAGCGCGGTTCTCGCATTGTGCGAATCATCGCGTCGGGATCGACGCGCTCGTCTTATGTGCGCGCCAGCCGGCGAGTCGCGGATCCTCGCGTGTCTTATGTGCGTCGCGGTTTCTTTCTCCTCCGCGCGGATCGCACGGTCTCGCCACCCGCGGGATATTGCGACTCCGCGAGCGATTACGCGCGGATGGAAGCGTTTATTCTGTTCTGGGAGTGGTCGCGCACGGGAGGACGCAATTATGCGCCGGGATCGCCGCACGAGCGGAGACGGCCGCGGAGAAAAATCCGGAGTTTACCGCGCGAAAAATGGAACGACTCGCGGCGGTGGCGGCGGAGGACAAAAGGAAAAGGCGGGTGGATCGGTTGAAGAGAGAAAAAGAGAAAGAGAGAGACAGAGAGAGAGAGGGAGAGAGAGAGAGAGCGACCGGATTCGTGGGCGCGACGAAGGGAACTCCCTCTCTCCTTAAACACTTTCCTTAAACCGCGATTAATTCACCCGCCGGAGAAGAAATCGCTTCAATTATTACCCCGCCGATATATGCGTCCGCAATTTAACTCTCAACGTAGAGAGATCCCAGGGCGAGATAACAGAAGGTCTCTCTCGTTACACGCGAATGCGACTCCCGCGTCGCATCCACTCGATGCGAGCGGAGATGAGAGGAATAAATTGAATTTGATTTCTCCACGAAATTATCGCAATGCAACATTCCCGGCGCGATCGTCCGCCCACGCAAGACGCCTCGCGACTTTCAGCGTCAAGGGAAGCCGAGAGCGCCGAAGAAGATGCGATTCCCGAGGCCGCGGGAATGCGAAGAATCCGGCCGGCCGCTTCGATTTTATACTTGGTTCTCTCTCTCTCGCGCAACAACACGGCCCTTACGTAATGGCCCCTACGATGCACGTGACGAAATCGGGTGCACGAATGAGTATCCTATGGTGCATTGTTTCTGATTTGTCCATTTCACAGTTGCGTTAGACACCGGCGAACGAGTGCGGCGGCGGCCGCGTACGAGACTCGCGTGCGTGTGCGCGAGTACGCGTGAATCGACAGGTGGATGCGCTTGTTAAATGCCTTCAAAGCTATCGGAGGATCGCAATGCGACGCGCTTGCGATCGTGCGCTCGCGAACGCGAGATGGGTGTAATAAAAATGAAAATGAACCGCTGCCCGGTTACGTCGCACCCGTCCGGTCGCGAATTCACGCTCGTCCTCGTCATTATCATTCATCATCAATACGCTCATTATCGTCGTTTGTCAATGTTGACAACGCTCGCGTAGGATTCGCGCGCGCGGATTACCTACACGTCCTGCATCTCCTTAATGCAAATGCGCGCAGTATCGACTGTCATGAGCGGCATAACATTTGAATGTATCGGGAATCGCAGATTACATCGGCAGAGAAAACATCAGTCCCGCCCCCCCCCCTCGCCTCTACGTCTGCGCGCTACCTGTTTGCATTTATAAATATGAATATGCTCTCCGGTCGTCGCGGGGCCACGGATTTCGCACGGGTGATGATTCTCCCGCGGGATCCCGGAATGAGATAAATCAATCCGGCCGATTCGCGAGGATCACGCCCACCGTCTTTCATCTCTCGTGCCAACCGACCTACATAATTTCCCCCGGCGAGCCGATCTCGCCGAGGCGACCGGTTAGGAGAACCAAAACAGAACGACGCGTCTCGATGAAGAAGAGACCGACATGCAAATCGATCGGAGACCGGATTGTAAAATATAGCTCGCTCTCTCTCTCTCTCTCTCTCTCTCTCTCAGTTAGTCCGTATAGCCACCTGGAGAAAAGAAAACATACGAAGTGTCGTCTTCTTCTTCGGGGCCATTAACGCGCCAGGCTACATATTTATCAGCGATATCATCGCCCGCGTACAATGACACCCACTGCGCATTTCGCCGCGAAGACGCGCTAACGAACGACTCTATTAAGCCGAAACAGTAGTCGCGTGGGCCATTCTATGTGTAAGCCAAGTAATTGGCTCACGCGGCTAAATCGACGCGATGGCATGTCGCCACGTTCGATCACGCAAGGAGCAATCTGACGAGTTGCTGAAGAGACGACACGATAATAATGACGACGACGACAACGACGACGATGACGACAACGACGAGGACGGATACGGGGTTGGGACGAGGTGGGGCGAGATTGCGAGGGCGACGAGGTATCCCCCGAGCAGGGGGGAGGACGATACGAGAGGAGAAAATGCTCCTCTCCCCCGGCGCGAGAGCGAGCGGACGACTCTGTACAGAAACCCGGGAGAATGGGAAGGGAAGATCTTCTTGGACGTCTTCATATAAATGCCGGCAGTGCTCGCAGCACGGGATCATAGATTCGATCTCGTTCAAATCGACAGCCGCACCGAACCGCCGACAATCGTCGTCGTCGTCGTAGTCTCTCGTCATCGTCATCACCATGCAGTACCTAGTGAGTGATTTGTCTCGGTCTCGGCGAGACACCGAGCCGGCCGCGATCCTCTGGACAACAAGAACTCCGTCCTCGTCGCTCGCGTTCCCGCCGCGCCGTGTCTCTGTTCCCGCGTGTTCTTCCTTATTCGTCGTAACCGCCGAAAGTGGCTGCGCCGATTACACGCGGTACTAATTGCGCGACGACTTTATATCACGGGAAATGACGCGCTGGACGTTCGTATCGGTGAATCCATCCCCGCCGCCGGTGTCGCGGGTTTTCGGATTCTCTCACGAAAATCGCATCTCGTCGGATACCGTCATGAGCGGCGATATGGCGTAAGGAGCACACGGTGGGAGAGTGGAGGCATTTGTACGAGCGCCGAAATAACGGGTTTCTCGCATCAACAGGTGTTGGGAAATGTGACATCCTCGCACGTTAGCGGTTAAGCGTGCGAACGCGGGTTTCCAGTTCGTGAGGTCTCCGTCAGAGACGTAAAATACGACGCCGATACGGTCGGCCGAGGAGGTTTTTTCTCCGCTCGTTGAATTGAAAGCTCGCGAAATAAAATCACTCATTGTAAGTTTCACATGTATAACTGATATTACGTCGGCGACGCACACCCCGCGCCTGGTCTTCCGTTATTCCCGTCGATACTCGTCGTTTATATTTCCGTCCCGTCGATACTCCCGTCAATAAACGTATCTTTGTGGTTGCAGATCTTGGCATTAGCTCTCTTCGGCTGCGCTTTCGGGCAATTCGGGCCATACCGCGGCTTCTCCAACCAAAATGCCTACAGACCGACGCCGAGGCCCTATCAGCCGCAGCCGCAGCCGCAGCCGTTGCAGCCTCAATACACGTACGAACTTTACGAAAGGAACGGACGATTGAAGCTTGTTTGTCACACGACGTGATGAAAAAATAATTTCATTTTTACGCGTTGCTCCCGGAATATTTCAAACGAGGGCATTTTTAGCATTAACTGAGATCATTGAAGAAATAATATCCAAGCGTTTTCGAAAGCAAGTTATAAAATGGAACGTAAAATCACGAGAGAGAGAGAGAGAGAGAAAGAGAGAGAGAGAGAGAGAGAGTCAACGTGTCCGAAACAAGTATTCGCGCGATCTTACACATTTTTCCCGAGATTAGCGCGTTAAAACAACTATAGATACGTCAGGTTATTGCTTGACTCGCAGTTATTTTTTGCTACTACTTTTCCATTCACCCAGCTAATTATAGCTTAGCATTGAAATTAACATAAATGAAGTCGTACGTAAATGGATCATTTCCGCGTTGTACAACTTAATGCTATTCAGAATCCAAGGCTGCCGCGCGGAAACAGTTTCGCGGATGCAGTTTCGGTTTTTTGCTCGCAGATCACCCGGAAAGTTCATAGCTATTCGAAGCCAACAGAAAGACTCGTCGCCCGATGGATCTTACAGCTTCAGCTATGAAACCGAGAATGGAATCTCCGTATCCGAGAGCGGACACCCTCAAGCCGGTCCTCAGGGTCAAACGGAGGTGATAATCACGCGCTACTCGAGAAGAAATCTAATCTAGTCTTTTCAAAGCCCGAGAAACTTACGTAACGATTTAAATCAGCCCGTGATTAATTTCATATTTAAATTCGACCGTAATAGACTTTCTAAGATCCACAGGTTTTTCTCACGACCGCAAATTTCACCTTTAAGAGATCCAACTCTTCCCATCCATATCCTAACATCGAGATCTTTCTCTTCTACATTCCACACCTAATCATTCACTCGCTCATCCGTCGCCTCGCAGGTGGTCCAAGGCAGATACTCGTACCCCGCGCCCGATGGCACCCCCATCACCATCGAGTACACGGCCGACGAGAACGGTTTCCATGCGCAGGGCGCTCACATCCCGACGCCACCACCCATCCCCGAGGCCATCAGAAGGGCGCTCGCGGCGAACCCACCCGGTCCCGATGACTCCAAGTACGACCAACAGCAGCCCTTCCAGCAGAGATTCGGCGGACCGGTGTACAACGCCAACCCCTTCCGAAGATTCTAGTTTCGCCGCGACACGCATCTCGATCGTATGGAAAAAGCTTCCTCCTCTTCCACCAGGAAGTATGCATCCACGACCAGCGCACAGCCAGACGAATCGATCGGAGGGAGGGAGGCTCGGCCAGGTATCGACCGACTCTTACGGATCACCTTCGCTCGGACTCTAACCGGAAGTGATACGTGTACATATAGGACACAGTACGGCGGGCAACAACAACAACAAGTATCGGGAACTCCTACGCAACATAACTGTCGTTACGCAATAAATCAGTATATATATTGTTTCTACTCGTCCCTGTGTCTTCTTTCGCCTCCTCCTCCTCCTCCTCTTCGCCCCGGCTCAACCGGCGCTCGTCGAGAGGGATTTTTACCACAATCCAGTTTTATCTTTCCCGTCAGCGCGAGCGATGCTTCCGTCCGATCGTTAAGCGTGACTTCGCGGGGAATCCTCGAATTCGAAGAGTCATTCGATGAATCCGCGCGTTTGAATCTTATCCTCGAACATGCCTTTCGTGGGAAGATTCATCTAGGTATATCGTGAGTACATTTCGTCTAACGGCGACATTTCTCTCTCTCTCTCTCTCTCTCTCTCTTTCTTACGACAGATCGCACGTTCCGTTCACTCGATCGCATCGCGTTCCCACGAAAAAGTGATGCGGGTGGCGCACATGTAATGACGATGAGAGATCGGCGAGGTTCCGGCGAGGGAAAGAAAGAAAAAGCGCTTTAATGTCAGTCTCCACCCACGCTTGTGGCTGGCATATTGCGTAAATATTTTTTCGCGCGACCCTCGCAATTAAGAGGCGGTCCAGTTTAAAGCGACGCAGCTTCGGGGAGCTTCGCTCTTTCCGTCGCTCGGGACCGTCTGACCTGACACAGTGACATACATCGAGGCCGCGAAAATGCCAGTTTTACCGGCATATAACGTCGTTGCGTCATCCGAGACGCGAAGAACGGCGCGCTTATGTACTCCTTCTTACTCGCCGCTGCTCGGCGGCTCTGCAATTTACCGTGGAATCTGGAGCCTAATATACGTAATTAATTGTGACACGCGATTACGCGCCCCGAGGAGGGACTACCGCGGCCTGTCCGTAATTTGGGATCGAGCGAGCGCGGACAAGGCGACGCGTTCATTTTATTAACGAACGTGAAAATACGTGGCTAAAAGTCGCTTTATCTCGCCCGAAGTCCACACTCCATCCCCTTTTTCCTTATCACCTCCACCCCCGTGAATCGCTTCTTTCGCTCGACGCAGCTTGTTATCGTGATGAACCGCAATTAAGCACGCAATTCATCCGCGGTCACAAAAACCGAAAACACATTGTTTTATATATGCGGCTAGTTACGATCGACTTTATGTAACGTGACGTGAAATATCGGAACTTAACGCGACGTAAAGCTTGCCAATGTCAAGTTTAGATGTCGCGTTCCGTCAAGTCGGACTGTTCATGTGACACGTTCAAAAACGGAATTCTTCCACCAGTGCTGCGATTCTGTAACTCGTTATTGGAGTTAACGACAGTTTCGTTATCGTTGCGCAGCTTTTCTACGGTATACAAAAGCTGCGCAACGATAACTCCAATAACGAGTTACAGAATCGCGGTACAGGTTATGCCTGTCGCCAAACTGAATTCTTCTTCGAAAAATATCTCTCACACTAATATAACCTCAAACGTCAAATTCACGTAACGTCACTTCACGTCCCGTCGCGTCCCGTTACGTAAAGTTCATCGTAATCCCGCCCTAACAACGAGACGAGAGGAACTCGCGATATTACCTTTACGATCGCGGGAGAAGGCGGCGAATGCGAAGTTCAATCGCCGCGAGTGTGGCTGAAAAATTCGCCGCCGTGGAATCAGCTGAGAGACATGCTCGCGTCGAGCCTTTCACGCGCATATATGCATATATTCGTCTTCATTGAAGACGCGTAGGGTCGATGTTATTCTCACGTTTCGGATTTCGACTCGCGAGTCCGAAGCGGGCGATCGGAAGCATTGAAATTTTGCGCGAATTAATCTTAACCGCGTTTCTTCAGCGGATAATCGTTATCAGGAGGCTGGCCGATCGAAAATTACCTGCAACACGCAAGAGACTCGCGATAACGAGGCTGCGGATACCCTGACCTCTCTAATATGCAACGCGAGAGGAGGATGAGAGAGCGCGGCGCGGTTGAAGTTCGCGTGCACCACGCCTGCAAGGCGAGCGCTTTGAAGGTGCTTTTACAACGTGCCGGCGGCATCGGCGGCGAGTGGATGGATTCGAGTCGCATTGTTGAATATCCGCGGTCACCAACATCCAAAGGAATTCGTTTCCCTGACACGCGTTATTGTTCTCTCTCCGCTACTAAAATATTTCCTTCTTTTCCCACTCTATCTCTCTCGCTCCTAAACGCCAACTCTTCGCCCCTGAAGAGGAGCATGGAGCGAAGAGGCAAAAGGAGATACTCCGGATTTCTATTTGACGCCCTGATCGCTCGCGAAGGGAATAGTGTTATAGTGAGGAACGCACCTTTAGATGATTCACGGCGCGAGAACAGGGTGGGACGGGTGCAGGTGAAAGTGTTGTACGCACATCTCGGCCTCTTTCGTTACTTCGCATTCTTCCACGCATCAATCCGGTCAAGGACCGATCGATCGCGATCGGCCGTCCGGCATACACGGCATGCAACTTGGGCGGACCTGCGAAAGGTTTCGACCGTCGAAACCTTCATCGAGGCAGCGGCGCACCGGGACGCGGCAGGGAGAACGGGTAAGAGGGTAGCGAGAAGAAACACACCCCCCGAGTTTTATAAGTGTAGCTAAATATGCGATCGGTACCGTTACCGAGTGCATAACAAGAATGCATACATCTCAAGTGGGTGGCCAAAGCACCTCTTTCTCACTAAAGTACTTAATACACAAGAAAAAAATGTCAGTTCGTATAACTTTGAATAGAGAGAGAATTCGACGATGAGAAATATCTCTGTCACTGAAAAAATTCGTCTGAACATTCAGCTGCATCAAAACACGGTATTGAGAATGTTAAAAATATTATAATAATTAGATTTGATTCTCTTCGATAACGTCTCTAATATAAACAAAATTTAAAAAATTTTTCCTCTTTCGAACGATCGCATCGCGAAAAGTTACATGATCGCTCACTTGGCGCACTATGTGCGCCATTTTTTTTCTCTCTCTGTCGTCGGAAATGTGCCTATACGTCTTCTTATGTGCATTTCTCGTGTCTTCACATCATGTTCCACACGTGAATTTCCTACGATACTCGCAGTCCAAACAAATTGCGAATTTCATTGTCAGCACCGGGTACCAGAAATTAGGTTATTTACATCATGTTCAATTTCATCAATCAACGATAATATGATGGGCATACACACAGAATATTGAGAATATTTCAGGTAAACATTATTAAAATTCGAACCACTCGCTCAAAGAAACATGTAAATTCTTGGTTGATATAGACAACGTCCAAAGGAGGATATATCCAAATTTATATGAAAAGGTTACGTTGCTTTATGACCGGATTAGGATGTTTTGTAAAAATCACATACCTTGAAGTCACGACGTATCTCATTTGCCGGAAAGTTCAACACCTTCTTATGTAACAATATCAACACTCGCGAGTATATATCAGGTGTAGTAAAAAGAAATCCATTATTTTTCCAATAGATGGCTTTAGTTATCTGTATCTCGCGTTGTATAAGTCCGATCGGGTTCCACTAGATGGCGTTAGAAAGATGAGATTTCGTACTAAAAAAACTTTTCTGACAGTTTTGTGATTAGTTGACTCAGTTTTGTTTGAGCGCGCGTCAAAGATGGACACTAGCAAAGAGAAAATACGCTATATTTTACAGTTTTTCTTCGATAAAGGCGAAAACGCAAACCAGGCAGCTGAAAATGTGAATAGTATTTATGGTCCTGATACTGTAACAGCCAATCACGCGCAATTTTGGTTTCGTCGATTCCGTTCCGGTAATTTCGATGTCAAAGATGCACCACGCACAGGAAGGCCAATTGTCGAAAATATCGATAAAATCATGGACATTGTCGAGTCCAACCGTCATGTAAGCACTGTTTCGATTGCCCAAGAGCTAAAGATTGCACAAAAAACCGTTTGGAACCATTCGAATAAGGCTGGATACAAAAAGAAGCTCGATGTATGGGTGCCACACGAGTTAACGAAAAAAAACCTCATGGACCGAATTTCCATCTGCGAATCACTGCTGAATCGCAACAAAATCGACCCATTTCTGAAGCGGTTGGTCACTGGTGATGAAAAGTGGATCACTTATGACAACGTCAAGCGAAAACGGTCGTGGTCGAATCGCGGTGAGCCGGCGGAAACGGTGGCCAAGCCAGGATTGACGGCCAGGAAGGTTTTGCTGTGTGTTTGGAGGGATTGGCAGGGAATTATCTACTATGAGCTGCTCCCCTACGGCAAAACTCTTAACTCGGAACTGTACTGTCAACAATTGGACCGTTTGAAGGAAGCAATCGCCCAGAAGCCGCCAGCTTTGGCGGAGAGGAATTGTGTTCCATCAGGACAACGCCAGGCCACACACATCGATAGTGACTCGCCAGAAGCTCCAGGAGCTTGGTTGGGAGGTTCTTATGCATCCACCTTATAGTCCGGACCTGGCACCAAGTGATTACCATCTGTTCCTGTCCATGGCGAACAATTTTTCTGGTGAAAAATTCGCTTCAAGAGAGGCTTGTGAAAATCGACTGTCTCAATTTTTTGCCAATAGGGACGAGGGCTTCTATGAGAGAGGCATAATGAAATTACCTTCAAAATGGCAACAAGTTATCGAACAAAACGGCGCATATTTGACCTAAATCGGATCATTCTAACTATGGTAATTAAAGCCTTCAATTTCATGCAAAAATAATGGATTTCTTTTTACTACACCAAATATATTACGCAAAATTACATAATACACATACGATTCACAACACTTCACCAAATTCTTCCTACGCGAATCTGTTATAAAACAAACATCAAAATGGTGCGAGCTTCTTCTAGTCCAATGGCCGCGTTCAGCAAAAAAAGCTGCTACTAAGCGCTTAGTGATTATTATCTATGATTGGAGTATTCTTTTAGACCTTTAATAAATCCTAGGGAATGAACCAATCACTAAGCGCTTAGTAAGCAACTTTTTCTGCTGAACGCAGTCATTGACTGCGTTCAAAAAACACTACCACAAACTATTGTCCACTGTAATTAAACTATATCTGTTCTGTACTATATCTGTAACTAACCTGTTCTAAATCTATTTTAAATCTGATAGCTACTTTAGCAGAAATGAAGTGATTAAATACTATTTCTTTCGATTGAAGTATAGTTTTAGATCGATGATAAATCCAAAAGGATATTTCAATGATAACAAATAATTCAACCGTTTTATCTTCTATAGATGCACCAATTTTTTAATCGGATAATTAATTGGTTATATTGCGCCATCTAAAGGTGTGTCTTGAAAACTGTGTGCTGCATTCTTGGAATATGCCCGTTTATGGTAGTTTAGACCCGTTATATGCATAGCCCCTTTATTTTTATTAGTTCCAAAATCTTCGCTACGAGTCGCCATTATCTTTCTTGAGAAATTGAACGTAATACGACTCAACGACTGGTCAGACAGATGCTTATTTTTCAAATTCAAAATATAGATCTTTCTCCTTTTTTGTAAATAAACAAAAAAATCGCACAAAAATCCACTAACAGTTAAAGAATTGTAAGTTAAAGAATTCAAACGTTTACATACGGGCAAAAGACATTGATTTCTTTTTATTCATTTTTAAATTGCACAGCTGATCAATTTAATAAAATTCTATAATATCAAATTAATAAATTATTATTGAAACTTATTAAAATTTTATCTATGTTTTGGAATACTGTTAAAATAACCAATTTTTTAACAAAAAGAAAATAACTTGGTTTATTCATAGTCCCATATTTTCTATCTCTCTTCCTCTGTCGATTTTGCTTGTAATCGAAACATAACCTTATTTCGTGCAGAATCAAGAACGTCATCTTCGTGAATAGTACGTTAAATAAAGAGTGCTGTGTGAATAATTAAAACGATTTAATAAGTGCAGAAATGCCAGACCATTTAGGAGAAGATATGCGAAAGGTGAAAAATGAGGAGGAAAAAGAAGAGAAAGAGATAAAATGTAAGTTTCATTTGATGGTTCTTTGTCACCATTGGATTGGAAGATGTCATCATGAATTCATGTTTTCTGAAATTTGTTCTTTGGATTTTCAGCATTGGATGAAGGCGACATTGCTTTGTTAAAAACTTATGTGAGTTTAGCAGGTGCTATTAAAAACATTGTAACACATTTGAAGATTCAGAGATGAATGCAGATTCACTGGACGAATGTCATGTTGTGCCTTGATTTGCCTTCATCTTGATTCTCCTTTCTTTTAGTTACATATTATTATACTTGTACGCTTAAATATTATATTTATGATATATTTTATACTTAGTATCAGTAATGATAATAAAGAGGTAACAAAATTATCTGGGATTGGTTATAGGGTCAAGGACAATATACAAAATGTATTAAGGTTGTCGAGGAAGATATTCAAACAATCATCAAACGTGTGAATGAATTAACTGGAATTAAAGAATCAGATACTGGCCTAGCGCCACCAGCACTTTGGGATTTAGCTGCTGATAAGCAGACTCTGCAAAATGAACAACCCCTCCAAGTAGCACGTTGTACCAAGATTATAAATGCGGATTCTGACGATCCAAAGTATATAATAAATGTTAAGCAATTTGCAAAGTTTGTTGTTGACCTAGCAGATTCCGTAGCACCCACTGATATAGAGGAAGGCATGAGGGTGGGAGTGGATCGTAACAAATATCAAATTCATATTCCATTACCATCTAAAATCGATCCTACTGTGACAATGATGCAAGTGGAGGAGAAGCCCGATGTTACCTACAGCGACGTCGGCGGTTGCAAGGAACAGATTGAGAAGTTACGAGAAGTTGTTGAAACACCATTGTTACATGTTAGTATATAATTCTATAGCATTAACAGCATTGTTCTTTAAATAAAGCATCGTAGGAGGAACATAATACGAGGAATTAATTGCAGCCGGAAAAATTCGTCAATTTGGGCATTGAACCACCAAAAGGAGTTTTATTGTTTGGGCCACCTGGTACAGGAAAAACTCTGTGTGCCAGAGCAGTGGCTAACAGGACGGATGCCTGTTTCATACGTGTAATCGGCTCAGAATTGGTGCAAAAATATGTCGGCGAGGTAAGTGAGTTAGGCGTATTGAGATTCAGTTGAGGTATAATACTTGAACAAGGCGTATAATTATAAGGCGCGATTTCCTACCTAAATAGGGTGCTCGAATGGTCAGAGAACTGTTCGAAATGGCGCGAAGTAAAAAAGCATGTTTGATATTCTTCGACGAGATTGACGCGATTGGTGGTGCACGTTTTGATGATGGCGCGGGGGGCGATAATGAAGTGCAAAGAACCATGCTCGAGCTGATCAATCAATTGGATGGGTGAGCACTTATTTTTGGCTGTCGTCGATCGACCAACTTGTAATTTACGATATCTCCACGTTGGTTTGCCTTCGCGTTGCAGATTCGATCCACGCGGCAACATAAAGGTCTTAATGGCGACCAACAGACCGGACACGCTGGATCCTGCGCTGATGCGGCCGGGCCGTCTCGACAGAAAAATCGAATTCGGCTTACCGGATCTTGAGGGACGTACACACATCTTCAAGATCCATGCGCGCTCGATGAGCGTCGAGAGGGACATCAGATTTGAACTGCTCGCACGTCTTTGCCCGAACAGCACCGGCGCTGAAATTCGTTCCGTTTGCACGGAGGCTGGTATGTTCGCAATTCGCGCGCGCCGCAAGGTCGCCACAGAAAAGGACTTCCTCGAGGCAGTCAACAAGGTCATCAAGTCATACGCCAAGTTCTCCGCGACACCCAAGTACATGACCTACAATTAAAGTGCGATCCTCCCCGATAAGTTTGTCATTAGATAGAACTTAGATGTAATTATTTCTATCGATTGGAAGATAAATCAGAAAGCAACTGTGTCTTTGAACAAAATAATAAATGTTATTTCTTTGATGCCACAAATCTGCGATTGTAAGCTTTTCGCGTTCGAGCTCGTCGCTCGAAGAACAATTTTGTTTTCCTCTTACGCGTTCACGCATTCGAATTCCAGCTTGATAGGCGCGTCGGGTTTGTTGATCAGCAAGGACTTCGTTCCGAGGTTACCGCCGCACCAAGTAAAACGCAAGTTTCTGCACATCTGCGACATCATACGATCGTTTATAACACCTCTTTATTTGCGTTCATAACATCTTTATCGATTCCTCAAGTACTTACTCGAAGAAGCACAACCTGAATGTTTTGCTCCGCGAATCGTCTCGCGATGCATGATCGCGGCCCATGTCCGAAGGGCAACACCAGATACGGGTTTATGCTTTCTCTCGTCGTCCGGTCCTTGGAACGTAGCCACCGTTCCGGAACGAAGGAGTTCGGCTCGTTGAAGTACTCCGGCAAGCGGCATGTCACCTGGTTTTGCGTCACGACCACGGTCTGAAACGTTTCGACGGCATTTCCTTGCGTTACACTTGTTGCGGGACTAACTAGCGAACGAACGCTCATTCGATCAATTCGATTAATTACGCCTCGGGGTACGTGATATCCGTTGAGAACCACGTCGGTCTGCAGGATACGACCGATCCCGACGGAAATGGGATTCATGCGGAATGTTTCCTTGATCACGGCTTTCGTGTATGCGGCGTTGCTCAAAACCTCCAATGTTATCGGGGAATCGGGATCTGCCAGTAACGCTGTGGCCTCATGTCTCAGTTTATCCTGCAGGTCGGAATTCCTCGCGAGGTGATACAGAGCAAACGATGTGCTGTACGTCGTCTGGAACAATAGAAAGATCGCGCTCGCGATGCATGCAAAGTTTTAATCGCGCACGGTGCGCGCTGCATACCGATGCGATGCAGTCGCTATGCGTTTGAATACCGTTGAAGAGACTTACGGTATCCACACCGGCGAGCAGCATATCGCACGACATACCAACGATATCCTTGATGTCTAACGCCTCGTTCCGCGAGTACTCCTCCAAGAGAGACTTCTTGCGGCGTATCGATGTGCTCTGATTTCTCTGGGACACCATCTGCTGCGACACCCTGTCGTGCCAACGGTACTTTTACGGTTGACCGTTGAATAAAAATTATAAAAAAAATTCACTAATAACGGGCTCATGAACGAGCAAAATCGCAAGATTTTTCAGATTGGGTACGTTCAGGAGACGCTATTGGCGCTATTTAGCGCTACAGGTTTTATCGCGGAGTTGGATGATAGCGCTAAAAAAATGTTACTATATTTTTAATGATATATATATATATATATAAAATATGATGACGTCATAATGATAGGTTATCAATGCTATTACTTCTCAAACAGCATTGATTGTAGCATTAATGCTTGTAAGCGTGAACGTCTAAAACATTGTGAACGTCTGTCGCTGCACGTGATCGTCGTACGGTACCGATATGTCGTATTTATTATTCATGTACGCAGTAGTTTAAATAAATCTTCGGAATGTTAAAACTGAAGAGGTGTTGAAACTGCGGAAACGACGTTCGTGGAGATCGTTATCACTACTACTGGCTACTGTGCTGCTAGCTGCACGAACAATAGAGTTCGCATTAATAGCGCTAATAGAAAATCCCTGAACGCTCTCAAGGTGAGTCAATGACAATTACCATTAAAAATAATACTTGAAGAAACCAGAAGGTAAAGGTCATATTATCATAGATCTGAATTTGTATTTATGTGTACAACGTAATACTTATAAAAAGATGCGGTTCCATCTGACAATTCAGGATCACCTCGTCATCTCGGAAAATATAAGACTTGCAGGAAAACGGAACACTTTCTCTGAACCCCTCATCGAGTTCAAAACATGTGAAACAGTTTCTCCTAACATCGATTAGAAAGTTGGTAATTGTTATTTGACTCGCTCTGTGTAGAGAAGGTTACAACCAAGACCAATTCTATCTAACGGAATTAACCGATTAACGAAGTGCGATTTAACTAAGGGCCAAAATAATTCAAAACACTGTGCGTGTTATCTCACTCTTCCATGTAACTCTGCGCTTTGCGCAGCTTCCTATATAATCGCGTCTCGAAGTATCGCCAAAGCCTTGGACCATTATCTAATCTCACTATAACGCTGTTTGTTTCGAAAGCTGCATCGATAAGCTTCGAGCTTCTAGAGTCGGGACGTCTCTCCTCCTCGGAGAAACTGTTCATTCTCACGTCGAAGGCAACGAGACATGTCACTGAAAAAAAATCACGGGTCAATCTTGCAAACGAGTTTCAAACGCGCCTTGTCACTGAATGCATCATACATTCGAGAAAAAGACGCGAGAGTAACGGCAAAAAATCGTCAATCTTCTCCAGCTGGCAAAGTTTCACGAACTCTTGGACCACGACATCGGTGTCCTCCAGATACTCGGCCACGTTACGGGGTTTGCTAAGGACCTTTTGAAATTCCCTGCGCAGTCTCCACCAATCAGCACCGTTTCTAAGGCAGAGTGAGAGCTTTGTCTGATTAATTTGATTTCACGATGACGCAGTGATCTCTAATCGCGCGAACATGAACGAGCAACAGACGCGATTCGACGCGACTAAAGATTCTCAAGTACGAACGTGAGCGATGAGGATCCTTACGTAGGTAAAAGTCCACCGGTGTTGTAAACGTTACTTCGGTCTTTCCGATACTTGAGAAGAGCCAAGTGCGACCTTCTCTCCGGGTAAAGGCCCGCCTCGGCCTGCAGGACACTCGCAATGTCTTCCGGTCGGAACACCCAGACCGTCGGCACGCCAGGTACTATTTCTTCCCGCACCAAGGGTCCGTAACGCTTCAGTTTCAACAAACCCGTCGTGTGCAACCTGGTGAAACTGTACTCGCCTGTAATGTCGGAACGCCCGGTGGAGCTTGTTTGTTCGAGGCAGCGAGTTCCGTTATTGTCACGAATTGAGATTTTCCGTGAGACCGAGCTCTCTTGCACGATCTTGCGAGAAACACTGTTCTTACCGATAAGAGGAAGATATTTGTACAGCGTGCCGACAACGGGCAAGGATTTCGGGCCCGGAATGTCCTCGAAGGGTCTCACATCCTGGGCGTGCTTCGAATTGGCCGAGCACGAGCGAGCGAGAAGTTTCTTCGCTGTTTCTATCCTCGTTCTCCACATCGCTGCATTCACGGGTACATCACACGTTGTCGATGTTGTTGGGAAATTTACGAATTTCGCGCTGAGCACGTTGATGGAAAAAGAGAATACTGAGGAATGCGATCGCGCGATTCTACTCTCGGAGTCTCTCTCTCTCTCTCTCTCTCTCTCTCTCTCTCGACCAACTTTTCTACTTCTCGTTCTTTACCTTTCTGCTTTTCTCTCGTGTACTCGTTCGATCCTGCTGCTCTGAATCGTTAGCATAAATCTGATTCTACGAAGATAGAGCCCCCTCCTGCCCCCTCCCCTCCTCACCCCCCGGTATAGTACGCCGTTCCTTGCTTCAGCGTTTAAGGAAACATGAGCGCGAGCTGACGAATGTTATTAAACTGCGAACGTGGCTACTTCGGTCGTTCTGTGATCGTTGTTACAACAATAATATCACTCGTGTGTAATATAAATATTGTACAAGTGTGCACTATAGAATATCGCTTAGGTTTACATAGCAAGACCGATCTTACGAAGACGTCGTCTACTCGCATTTGACATCGAAATTATTAGTAAAAAATCGTTACCAAGAAACGAGATAAAAACGAAGGAATATTTTAAATACATTCTAAATCTACTAGTCATTCTAAATTTTAATAACATTGACGATAAAATTCACTCGTGTAATAAATCGCTCACTTCCAACACCGCACGACACAGATTGTTAGTCAATCAATTAGAAGATCACACCATGTAACGCACCGCGAACATCGCGTATACGCTTCAGATCGATTCTCCTACGAAATTCTATTTATTTTGTAGTTATTTATTTAATATTGGCTGTGTTTCAATATTCACTGCCAGCACTGAAAATTTATAATATACGTGACACAAACTATGTATTTTCAGTACTGGCAGTGAATTTTGAAACACAGCTATTGTTATATCTAAAAATAATGTTTCAGAGTGAAGTTTTAAGCGAAGCAGTTCAGTTAATCCAAACATAAAGACTTGCTCAAGTTCCCCCTGAAAATTTTTGTTTCTGACCGATCGTCAGATGCATTCGCAAGATACCCCACTAGTAATACTGGTTTTCGTTCCTTAATTTTTTTTATTTCAACTCCTTCACTTCTCTGCAGTTCATTATGCCGCCAGTGTCGGCACTCAAAATTCCCATACCCTGAAGCATCCAATCTTGTTGAAATAAATAATTTGTGATTATCTAACATGGGCAGAGAAATCGGCTCGCGAAGTGTACGATGAAACCATTTTATTGATATTTGGTTTTATTAGAATATGATTTAATTTTTGAACGATAATTGATACGGGGAATTTTCTAATGAACGTACGATAATGTAGCGGCGAGAAATATTACTTTTCAAGGAAATTATTCATTTGTGCCACAGAATTTATTAAGAATTAAGTTGACCGAGTCGATACGCGAACTTTGCCAGTCATTATTGCGCTGCAGTCAACTTGAAGCTGATGCAGAAACGTCCTCGAGAACGCTAGTCAGTAGCCTTAAGGAGCGTACACTGTGAACATGTGGCCTTTCAACAGTATATGTACCAGCAAAGTGCGCCTTGTAGGAAAAACGGTGGTTATAACGGGCGCGAATACCGGAATCGGCAAGGAGGCCGCTAGGGATTTATACAGGAGAGGTAATTTTATGAAAAATAAATAATAAACGATAACGTTCTAGTGAAAAGGCAGACTAAAGACAGGAGCGTAAAGTGTTAATAAAAGTCTGGTCTCGTTAAATATTGGCGCGTATGTGTCAAAAATTCAAGGATACCCAAGCACCATCTTATCAGTGTATCTTACCAGTGTATCTTATCAGTATATTCTTTTTATGCGCGAAAAGCAAAGACCGTTTATCGAACAATTCAATAACTGCATATAAATGTACGCAACATACGTCGTAATACGGACATAATATACGAATACTTATTTTATAACGTGATATTTTATTGTGTTATATTGCAGTAAATAACAAAGACGATATATATATTATATAATATATATATATATTATATATATATATATATATATATATAGTGGCTATTTAATAACATCAATTTAATAATATGTTAATTTATTAAATTTGTGCAACGGAAAAAATGTATATTAACCGTTTGAGTCCCAGGGGGTATTGAAAAAACACTGTCGAAGAATCCCAAACAGCGCAACCGCGCTTTCTATAAATGAGTATGAAAAGACCCAAGCAGCGCGATAGCGCTTGTTTTATTTTAGGTCGAGAAATACCAAGCAGCGCGATAGCGCTTTGTTTATTTTACATCGATGAATCCCAATCGGACCAATACCGCTTCTTGTATTTGTTAGGTAACGCGATTCTCGTCTTTTTCTCATCGCTCTGTCACATTTATTGTAGTTTGCAAAGCGATCGGACGTATTCTTACGTAAGTGTTTCTCATTGTTAATAATTGTGTGTTTCAAAATGATTAGACGAAGCAACGGAGCAACGAAGCAAAAGGAATCCATCCAACATGTTTTGATAAACACCGATGTTACAAATTATAATTGTTACTCTCCATTTAAATTATTTGTTCATAACACAAAAATATTGTTAATTTGTAATTCGTTATTTTATAAAATACATCTGTATTATTACATATGCGTACTGTAAATTTATAAATATTTCAAGTTTTGTTCGATAAAAATTATTGAGAAGATAACAATGAAATAAAAATTTTTATTTTGTAATGTATTATTGCATTATTATAGTATTATTCTACCTATTATAAAATGTACTATTTACATTAAAAGGATCGGTGTGATATACTTGCTTCAGTAAATCTGAGCGCGCGACTTCGACAATCGGTAACGCACCGTCAGTTGTCCACAATGATCGAAATGTACTGGGTTTTCTCGACATAAAATCTGAACAGCGCGATCGCGCTGCTTGGGACTCAAACGGTTAAAGCACTAATCATACATCCTTATTTAGGTGCGAGAGTAATTTTAGCCTGTCGCGACGTACAAAAAGCGAAGAATGCAGTCGAAGATTTAAAGACAAATCCACCCTCAAAGTGAGTAAATATATAGAACAAGATAATCCATTGCTATTAAAACAAATTCCCATTAAAACAAATAGCTGTAATCTCTTTTAAGTAACTCTTAAGTAAAATGAAATCAAGATAACTTATTGGCTCGCTTAGCAAGTAAACCAGATCTATGCGAGAAAGCGGGTTACGTTTCTCCATCGACTTTGGTACATAAAAGAGACGCGCGTCATAATAAATTTTTACTGCTCACCTGACAATTTCTAGGAAAAACAACGCCACGCAAGAATTATTAAACAATAATTGAGACAGTCATACTTGATATGCTTGAATGCTTTTCAGGCCGGACAGAAAACAATTCGAAGGTGATCCTGGCGAGCTCGTAATCTATTCGCTCAATCTGTGTAGCCTTAAGAGCGTGAAAGAGTGCGCAAAGAATCTATTGACAAACGAACCGGCGATTCATCTACTCATCAACAATGCCGGCCTGATGTTTTGCCCGTTCGAGAAAACGGAGGATGGTTTCGAGACTCACTTACAAACGAATCATCTCGGCCATTTTCTTTTAACACTTCTTTTATTACCCAAGATGATATCCTCAGGTCCCGATTGTAGAATAGTGAATGTATCATCACGTATACATTTGTGTACGTAAGTTTAGTAAGTCACATGTAAACACGAATCTTCGAACTAGCAGCACGCCGTGTTGATAATAAGTTATCGGTCAATGTCCGCTACATAGATATAGACCGATACCTGACAGCGTAGAAAGGAACCTACACTAACAAAAATGTATTATTGGCTATAATAAATTGGTCAGCGATAATAAGTAATTTTATTAGTCGTACGAGTAATTTTACTATTCACGCGAGTAAAAAAGTTACTTATTATCACTGGCCAATTTATTATAGCCAGTAATAAATTTCTGTAATAGACGACTGATATTGTATAATTGTAGTTGGCAGCATAAATTTCGATGATATAAATCTGGAAAAATCATATAGTCCTTTGAAAGGTTACGCACAAAGTAAATTGATGAATGTATTATTCACGAAGGAGCTCGCTCGGCGCCTGAAAGGTAGGAAACAAGAGACTTTTTTTAAAATTTATTATTATCGTAGTATTAAAGAAATTAAAAATTCAAATTATCCATTAAGAAAAAGTAAATTTTTTCTTTGATGAAAAAATATTTTTCTTTAGAGAAAATGTCCTTCTCTTTAGAAAGTAAACTTGCTCTTTGGAAGATTTCAAAGCGGAAACAAAAGTCATACAATATCAATCCAAGTAGCTAAAAATGTTCAAAATAAAAAAATTTGAAAATTAAATTGTGTGTGTGTATATAAACTTTGACAAAGTATATCAAGAATTAAAGACATTTTTATTAGTGAGGATGATTTATAAATGAAAGTTTGCTTTCCAGAGGCGAATATCACTGGGATAAATGTCTATTCTTTACACCCTGGAGCTATAAAGACGGAATTGGGTCGACATATAGATGCAATGTCTAACGTTATAAAATTCGGTTTTCATTGGATTGTTCAACCGTTTTTCAAAACTCCAGAACAGGGTGTGCAAACAACGATTTATTGCGCAGTAGATGAAAAAACGGCTAACGAGACTGGTCTCTATTATACGTAAGAATTATAAATTATATTTTATAGAATTATATTAATGCAAAACGATATAAAATGTGATGAATTGTACGATGTTTTAAGATATCTCTTCTTTGAATTTTTTTACGTCTCAAACATTTCTATATTTTTAATATTTAAATGATTTGCAACCGTGTATTTTATTAACATATCGCTTTAAGATAATATATTCGCGATATAATATCGTTAAAAGATACTCTTCGTAAGAATATCCTGCTACATATTGTCATAAATATGGCTGAAAAAAAAATCTAAAAGCAAATTTATTTTATACAAATAAAATCTAAATTTGCCATATGATTTTTGGCTATGTATATATATATATATATACAACTTTCGTCGAAGAATAAGCTCTCAAGCTTTTTACTTTCGATCATTGCAGTAATGAATATTTACTTTACCAGAAAAATTGATATAAATTCCTCTTTATTTGACATTTTAAATTTGTTCGATAGAGAATGCAACGTTGCAAACACACATCAGATGGCAAATAACGAACGAGCTCTTAAGCAACTATGGGATCAAAGTTGTCGTCTTCTGCACTTAGAACCCGAGGAGGACCTTCACACGTTTCTGAAAACAGTATCACAACAAATGACCGAATAATATACTCAAATTGTTATTAAAATAATGTACAAATATATTTATATTTATAAATTGAATAAAAATTAAATCTTTTGTGGTTTTGGACAAATATCTGAAACTGAATTTTTTAAAATCTCCTTTCTTCATCGAATTGAAGATTACGTCATCAGCTTCAAAACGTCCGGGATGACCTGTATTTCAAATAAAACATACCATGTAAAAGTAGTCAAGCATATTTTGTACGACTAAGTAGCTTATGAACGATACAATAATAAGCAATATGTAGTTCCTATAAATAAACATAAGGAGGCATTGACTTTTATCTGTTGAATCTCATTATTTTATGTGATACATGATTTTTACATAAATCCAAAGGATCTTCGTATGAAAACATAATGTCGCTATCTTTTTGTATTTAGTACGCCCTCCTTCTTTCATGGTGGATCCCCCTTCGGCGCGTTGCAAAGACGTGTCCAAGCGCCCGGGGGCAGCCAAAATATGGCGCCGACCCCGGGGCTTATTTCTATTACTTGCATCGGATAAGGCAGAGCAACGGTGGAGGCGGGCATACATGGACAGCAGGTCTTAAAGGATAACAACCTTTGACTTTGAGAGACACCAGCTTGTACCACTAGGTACAAGCAACAATGCCTCTCTCTGTAGTTGCCGTGCGTTCGAGATAGCACTAGAGATGTCGCTTCCAAACGACATCTCTCAACGTTATCTGGGGAGAGGAGAGCGTCGTGAGCGTAAAGCGTCAGATAGCTCAGAGCAGTCGTCCGGCAAGCGAAAAAGACCCGGGTTCGATTCCCGATCTAGCGACTACCGCGCTCTCGATAATTTTTCTCTCTTCGGAACGAAAATAAGAGTAGTACGTGCCCCCTCCTTCTTTCATTGCACTAAAAATCTCTCCTATTGGACCATGATGGATATATTACAAAACTTACACAAGAAATTACAACAACTTTTTTGTCTCCATGAGTTATTAGTAGTAACAGAAAGGTCTTAAATCCTTGATTGTGGATGACGTGTATAGCCGCATGAAAAAGTTGTGCCACCAGTGTGGACGACATGTATACACGCATCGAAGAAAAAAAATAGTAAAACTATTGTTTTTTACATACAGGTGGGTATCTATATGTTTTTGTCGCTGAATCCGAATTTGATATCAAAATTTCGAAATTCAAAATGGCTCTCTTGTTTCTCCGCTCGTCCAAAGGTCCCTACAAGGGAGGACGGTCACGCCACCCAGGTATAAGTTATCATGTATCATTTGTAGGGATCTTCGGAAAGCGATCTTCAAGCGTGGCAATAGAAATGAAGGACTCTGATTGGTTCATTTCCTTATGAGTTATGCATTATGCCTTTATGCAAAAGTGTGTGCTTCCCGATTACTTGCCCGATTTAGCCGATTTTTTAAGGCTACGCCTACTTCTCTTCTCTTTTCTTTCCGAAAATCCCTAAAAATGATACATGACAGCTTATACCTGGGCGGCGTGACCGTCCTCCCTTGTAGAGACCTTTGGACGAGCGGAGAAACAAGAGAAATAGGCGTAGCTCCCAAAAATCGGTTGAAACGGGCAAATAATTTCGACTTCTGGGCATAGACAATTGGTACTCTGTGTCGACTTTACGGTGTCTCTCGGACATTTTACATGTTTAGGTCATCACGGGAGGATCGAATGTCACGGAGGATTGACGAATCTATTACTGAAGAACGCAAGAGACACAGGTAAATATTTTTATCCAGATTTCTCTGATTTTCCCGTCTCATCCCAGCAATTATTAAGAGTTACAATCGATGCTATAATTTGCTATGCCACTATGAATACGACACGTGTATTGTATTTACTGTGGGAAATTGTGACATTAATACAATGTAACTTTTAATTCATGTATTTACTTAAACATATATTATACATAACTGTAGTTAGAAAGATGCAACTGTAATATAATTTCAATTTACAGATATCGGAGCAAATTGCCACCTTCACCGTTCACAAACCTTTTTATCAGTTACTCCAACATCGTCTCGAAGTCACCGTGTGTCGTCACTTCCTATGGCTATGATAAGAAACATCGTCGCCTTCGTGTTCCGCCATTTACGGTAAACACCATTGTGAATCTGATTGGCTGTCTCGTTTTGTCCTGTGTGATAAATAAAAACAATTACATTCGTATATTGTATTGTTTTTTAATAATTACTTTCACGTAATGTGCATGACTGAATGGGAAGGGGGGAGGGGGGATGTAAAAATGAACATGGCAGAATCTGTTGTATTTCTGTCACCAGTCTGCCGTCAGACTACGTACGGCAGGATCTGTTTCCTTTCTGTCGTCAATCTGCTGTCAGGCTGCTTAACAGAATCTGTTCAAATGTTGATGTCAATCTGATATCAAACTTCTGTATCAGATTTTGTCTCAATGCTGCTGGCATTCTGCCGATATCATCTGATATTGCAGAATCTGTATTAATTTTGACATCAGTTTGTCATCAACTCTTGCAGCAGACGTCTGGCAAAATCTGTTTCGGACAGATTTGGTTATTAGGGTATAAAAATATCATAAAGAAAATTCGACATTTTTTCCAACACATAAATGGCACGACTAGTACATTTCTGCCTCCACATTCAAGGGGTTAACTCTTTTCGGAAAAATTGGATTTATTTGAAAACGAATGGAAAAGCGCAGTCTTTTTTCGAAATACGAGGTTTGCCCGGAAAGTCTCTGATTTTGTGCTTTAACTTTGAACCTAGGAATGCTATTGCCAAAAACAAGTATTCACAATTTAGGGGGGGACCTTCATGAATACTTCCTCCAAATGGCACGACAGCAACAATCAGCAAGAGTACCCTGTTATGTAAATGTTGAATCTCGTGCGTATCGCATTTCATAATAATCGAACACATCAAATAAAGAGTCTGTATCAAATTCTATTAAAAACTACTGAGGATGAATTATGGATTTATTTTGGGTTCATGAATTATCTTGGGTTATGACTCTTGAGATAAAAATCCATTCTTCATAGTGGACGTCAGAATCGGAGCAATATGAAGGCAATGCTCAGTGTTTTTTCGACCAGGAAAGTGTTGTTTATCATGAATCAAAGCGTCTCCAAGACATTTGTCTCGACGCCACAATCACTACTTATTTGACACTATGTATATGCCATTCTTCTAATTTCGTAATAAATGACAGCACAGGCGTATGAAGCAGTGGTTGTCTCTCTCCTGAAGTTGGAACGCGTTCCAAAGTCAAGCAAAAATCTTTTCGATCACGAGTTACGTAAAATAAGTTACGTAAAATAAGTTTTTACAAGTAAAACTTACAACTATAATAAAACTTTACAAAACATTGTTCTACCATGTAAAGGAAGTGACATAAATTTAGTGCGAGGCACTATCGTGTCTTTTAATTATATCTTGTGGCATTTGTAAAAATTAATTTCATAGCATTGTAGAAAATTTAGATGCTGAAACAAAACGCAAGATATATAAAATAACATGCTGATGCATTCGTTTATCGAACTGCCCTCTATGTCACTATTCACCAACTTCACTGCAATTTTAACACGGTGCAATTCGTCGCACGAAACAGTTTAAATGCAAGCAGCGAACCATCACAGAACTATTACGGTGAATATTTTTAAAAGATGTGGCCCTTCAATCCGTCATGCAAGAGCACGGCACGTCTCGATGGTAAAACTGTGATTATTACGGGAGCGAATGCTGGAATCGGTAAAGAGACCGCCAGGGATTTATACAGAAGAGGTAATGTAATCCGCAAAATAATGCAGTGATAAAGTACAGTTTCTCGCGATATAATGTGCATAATTTTTAGGTGCTAGAGTAATTTTAGCCTGTCGTGATAGAATAAAGGCGGAAGCTGCGGTTGACGATATAAAAAAGAATCCACCATCTAAGTAAATAAATAAATATATATAACATAGCATTTTCAGTTTATCCAAGTCAACATTTTAGTTCTAAGTTAATCCTGCATTTGTCGAGCCTGCAAATTTTGTCGAGCCTCTTAACCTTTTTTAATTTTTAGTCTCGCAGGTCCACAATTCGCGGGTAATGTAGGCGAGCTCGCAATCTACGAGCTTCGTCTCGATAACTTTCGGAGTGTGAGAGAATGTGCTAATAACTTATTGCGACACGAACCTACGATACACATTCTTATAAATAACGCCGGCATATGTTCGTGTCCGTTCAAAAAAACCGAGGATGGGAACGAAATACAGCTGCAAACAAATTATCTCGGACACTTCCTGTTGACACTTCTACTATTACCGAAATTGCAATCCTCCGCACCGGGTTGTCGGATAATCAACGTGTCGTCTATAGCACATTGGTGTAGGTGAAATTAATACTAGCTGCATGTTGCAACGCGGAGACATAAGATACAAATATAGCGAGCCGATTATTTCGAATAAAATTAGGTTTCGGATAAGCTCGAAAAATTCAGTAAATATGCCGTTGACAGAACGTCTATCCATTGATATTAAAACGGAAACATAGAGCTGACATAATCCTGAAATCACTATGTTTATGTGTAAAAATACATTCTTGTCAAAAATAAGAATTGTTAGTCGCAAACGTAATAAACAGCGCTTAAGCAACACTTTAGCTCGTCTACTTTATATTGTAAATATACTTTAAATATACTTGTAAATATACTTTATATTGTAAAATGTGCATACACTTTTTCTTTTTTCTTTTTTCTAATTGAAAGCATTGAATTTGGTCTAATTTAAAATATAACACTTCTCTTCTTCTGAAATTTATATTACATTATCACTGTCACTAAAAATTGTATTTAGATGCAATTTGCTCTGTTACAGTTATTAATATGCACTTCGATGATCTCAATATGGAAAAATCGTACAATCCGTTACTAGCTTATGCTCAAAGCAAATTGGCGAACATTTTATTTACCAAAGAACTCGCGCGTCGATTAGCAGGTGAGCAAAAAGAATGCAGTGGTCAAAGTACCACAAGAAATTACTGAAGAAATATATTATTACGAGATGTTTATTTGGAAATTCACTGTTAATTAAGAAAGATATATACATACATAATTATATATGTATATAAGAAATGAGTAAAACGGCTAATATTTTAAAAATATAACGTTCGGTTCTCAGATGCGAACATTCAAGGAATCAATACCTACGCTTTGCATCCTGGCCTTATAGCAACGGATATATCACGTCATGTGAATCAAGGCATGTTTTATGGCTCAAAATTTTTGTTCAATCTATTATGTTGGATATTTGGTAAGAATGTTGAGCAAGGAGCGCAGACAACAATACATTGTTCTGTGGATGAGAAAGCAGATGAAGAAACTGGCCTCTACTATTAGTAAGAGCACATATATCTCACTTATATCTTTCCTTTTCTTGTTAAATAATGTGATAATTTTATGAGAATCACCATCTACTTTTCTTTACTTTTTATAGCGACTGTCACCCCGGCATGACATCCTTTAAAGCGAAGGACAGGCGAAACGCAGAAAGATTGTGGAACGTAACTTGTTGGTTGTTGCATTTAAAGCCCGAAGCAAACATGACTGAATTATTGAAAATCGTTTCACGTCAAATTACCGAGTGCGATTAATCTATTAAGACATCCTGCACTGGCATTATATTACGCATAACATAATTGTTGAATTAATTAAATTGATTAATAATTAACAATTCCTAATACTTACAAGCATTTATGTTATAGTGAAGGGAAGAGGAAACTAAGAATATAATGGTATATTAAGGATAATAATATTTTATGTAATAAAATGTAAATCAACAATTGTTGGACGGTTTACCGCCCACCGTTATATAATTGGAATATTTTAATCTACGAAGCAAATACTTACACATGTGTAAAATCATGTATAAACAAGCCTCCGATACATCTGTCTTTCTAAAAGCAGTTGCTGATTAATAATTAAAAAGCAATTCGATGCAATAAATGAATCAGAAGATAGAATTGGATTCGTCTTTATCCTTTAACAGAATAAGGATGAAATATAAGAAAAGGATAAAAGCTAACTGTATAAGATACGTTGATTTATAACATCACATTAAATGAAACTCATATATTTGAATTTGTGGATTTTGTATTAATCTCGATGTATCATATCGCATTTTGCGCACGAGATATTAATTACATTTCAATGATGTATCACAAACTTTTGTAATAAACCGTGTGTGACATGTTAATAAATATGTATTTATGCTGTTTAAATTTGTTTAATAACTTTATTGAGACTACCATAAGGTTATCTTTATCGTAATTGTAATTACTAATCTGATATAAAACGTATAAATAAAATTTAATCATGATTTTATTATAATTGTTTTTATAATTTCATAATTGATTTACTAATTAAATCAATGATCGAGTTAAATAACTCGTTATTTGTAATCTACTTTTAATTCAAAAGAATATTTCTTTGGAGGTCGGGTGACGACACAAAAATATGTGACAGAAAGTAGTTTAGCAAGTTGTTTCGTAATGGTCAACAGCATAGCTTTAAGCAGTACTGGCGAGTGCAGTGGCTGATGCAATCGCGGATAATTCAGTTTTCAGACGGAAGATTTAAACGAAGAATGTTCTCCGCTGCATAAAATTCCGCTAAATTCGTCGCGACAAAGAACACCGTGAAAATATGGGTCTATTTTATACATCCTGTAGGAGCAAAGTGCGTCTTATGGGCAAAACTGCAATCGTAACTGGAGCAAATAGTGGTATCGGCAAAGAGACCGCCAGAGATTTTTATGGAAGAGGTGAGTCACTATAAAACCTGCTAAAAGAAATCGGCGATATAAAATGACAATTAATTTTAGGGTTCTTCAAACTATTGGACTTTATAAATTTTGTGAAATTTCGCATAATGTATCTTACAGTAAGAAATGCGTATCATTTTTTGTAAATGTTCATTTGCACTGAGAAGAACGCAATGTAATCCTGTCTGCTCTGTCGCGAGAATTGTTATATAAGAATTATATGTAAATATATTTATAGATGCAAAACTGTAGGAAAACATAGATGCAGTACTAATATTAGAAACATAATTATTGCGATAGCCTTCGTGGGAGTTTTTTCGCGAGGAGTTTTTTCAACTCTCTATCTGTTGTGGAGTTTGTCATAAAAGAAAAAAACTGCTCGAGTCTTGCAGGTGGAAACATGAAATAAAAAAGATTGAGCAGTTATATAACTGATTTAAGACTTAACTATAAGACGTTCGTACCGTAGCGTATACACGTGAAAGATCAGTCACGTGTTGACATGTAATTGGCTAAATATTTTGATCATTGAACGGGGAAGCGCAAGGCCGGTTCGCTTTGTGGAAATATGTGAAACATCATATATGTGTACGTATATATACATATATGTTCAACAATATCGATATATTTCAACTGATAAATTGTTTGCGTCTGTCGATGTGTCGACAAGATTCATTTCGAAAACTTCCAATTTCTACGTCTGTGTTTAATCATTCATCCATATTATATTTAATCATATGGAAGCGAATGTTGTAAATCATTGTAAATCTTTATATTTAGGCGCTAGGGTGATATTAGCGTGTCGAAACATGGAAAGAGCCACGGAGGCGCTCGAAGATATAACAAACAATCCACCTTCGGGGTAAATATGCCTATAATTATATCTAAACTCACGCTATATTATATTTATTTCTGAAAGGAAATTCTGGAAGGAAGAGAGGGGGGCAAATTAACTCAGTTATTCGGCCTGATTAGCGCGACTAACGAGTCGAACCTGCGGTAACCTTTAGGATCGAGAAGACCGAGTACCAGCAAGGAGCAGGTGAGCTCGCAATTTATATCCTGGATCTGTGCAGTCTCAGGAGCGTCCGGGATTGCGCCAAGAGTTTGCTGAGGCAGGAAGCTGCCGTTCATATACTCGTGAACAACGCCGGCGTCGCCGTGTGCCCGTATGAGAAAACGGAGGATGGCCACGAAGTGCAGTTGCAAACGAATTATCTCGGCCACTTTCTCCTGACGCTCTTGCTGCTGCCGAAGATGCAGTCATCCTTGCCAGGCTACAGGATCGTCAACGTCTCGTCGATCATACACCGTTGTATGTATAATCGCGATACTTCGCGGCTTCGAAAGAAACGTGATACGTGACTCTTCTCCTTGAACTCGCGCGCATTAGTGGAGATTTAGTTCACTAAATTATAAAACGTATTCAGAGATATTCGGTTGCAGTTGGCAACATATATTTCGACGATATCAATCTGGAGAAATCCTACGCAGCGTGGAAGAGCTACAAGCAGAGCAAACTAGCGAACGTTTTGTTCACGAGGGAGCTCGCTCGGCGTTTGGAAGGTGAGTGAAACGAGAAACAATTTCCGAACGAAATGCAATAGATGACAGTGGAAATACAATGAAACTTTTGTAGTTGGCTTTTCAAGGTCGATGATTAACCGTTTGCGGACGAATTTTTCCTTAACTCCAATTCGCAGCAAGTCGAGCATATTCTCTATACAAAACAAAATTATACATAAAGACTTAAATATTGGAGTAAAAAAATAAAGAAAAATATATATTGCTTTATGAAAATCTTCGCGAATAACTTCGCGATGTCTTAAAGCATCGCACGGCTTTCTGAGGAGTACATGTAGCGATGACTATAGTCATCTCACGGACTTACAAGGTTAAGAATCGATGATTAACCTTTTAACTGCTACAGTCGAGATAACTCGAGTGTGGAAAAAAAGGCCGTCTGGCGGCCTTGCTACGATCGAGTTTACTCGATTTGAACTTTCAATGTGTGTGGTATTTCTTTTAAATTTAAAAATGTGAATTTGTGAAAATCTCGATCATCAGCAAATTATAAAATATTTTATAATTGTAAAAATAACTCAGCAAAGAGGGTCATACTGGTCATTTAATATCTCAGCAGCTAAAGGGTTAATAATGGATTGCACGGTAGGCAAAGAATACACGGCTGCATCTCGTATCTGAGATTACTCGCTTCGATTTTTAGAGGCGGGCATTCGCGGGATCAATGTGTACTCTGTGCATCCTGGTTACGTACCGACGAAGATTTCACAGTACAGCAGCAGAACGATGTTTAACGGTGCGAAATTTTGTTATGGGCTCCTTACGCGGATGGTGACTCGAAATATCGAGCAAGGAGCGCAAACAACGATATATTGTTCGGTGGACGAGAGAGCGGCAAACGAAACAGGACTCTATTATTCGTAAGAATCTGTTGATTGAGACACTGTAGTATCTAAATTGAGATCTTCATGCAATACTGATGGCTGTTTTTTCGCAGAAAGTGCAGTGTCGCTACTCCGCACCGAAGAACGGGAGATGTCGAGTTTATGAAAAAATTGTGGGACGTGTCCTGTCAGCTTTTGCATTTGGAGCCTGAAGAAGATCTTAATGTATTCTTAAACACCGTGTCATGCCAAATTGCGGAATGATTGGAGGGGAATACGTGTAAAAAACACTGTAAAATACACGTGCCTAAGTCCATCGAGTCATTACTAGTTTAACTTTAATATTCCATCGCTCATTGTAGTTATTATTATTTTGTTGTACAGTATTTATTGTTGTAGTGTATGAAAGAAATATATTTTCTTACAATGTCAGGTGATTCGTAGAACTAGTTTATGTTAATGACGAGATGAGATTTCCTTCTCATCGTTACAAAATATATATTGTTTTGCTTAATTTACTGCGACAGGAAAATTATGTTTCTTCATGTGTGAACATAATCTCTTCGAGTAGACTTAAAACGCTAATGGTCATGGAAGATTAAAGATCTAACAGCGTCAATAACTCCGTTTTGCTCTGCTCTTTACTCTGCTCGCTCATTCGCTTGGGACGCGTTGGAGAGATCTTCGCTAGATCTGCCGGGATTTGTCCTAGCATGTCAGCGCAGCGTGGATCGGCACCGTATTCCAGCAGGTACTTAATCGTTTCCGTACGACGGTGAAGACTCGCGAAATGTAATGCTGTTTGTCCAGAGAAATTCGCTTGCGATATGTCGGCGCCAGCTAGACGGTACGATTGCAAACGTTTGATATCCCCCATGACAGTAGCCGCGCACATTTTTTCTCCTATTAGCCGAGGTTCCCAGTGAAGATGCGCGCCGCACGTTCGCAGCATCGAAATGATCTGAGAAACGTTAGTCATTCATTAGGAAACTGGTGGCTGTGTTTATGAGTATAAAGATTAGATTCTTTTTAGAGAAAGAAAAAGAGGGAACGGGAGGAACGACGGGCTGAACGAGGGAATTAGAGCGGATGAGAAGAGGATAGAGGACATGAGAAGGATGAACGAGAAGAGCAAGAAGAATGAGAGGAGGGGGAGGAGATTGTAAACGGAACCGACGGTTGTACAGAACAGGCTGATAAAATGTGTGTATGTATTTGTTATAAACGGAATAGAATAAGACAGTCGCTGTTACAAATTTAGCAGATACATCTTAGTGGAAAGTGATCTCACTTCGTGATGATCGTTTTCGATCGCATCGATGAGAGGCGTACGGTCAAATCGATCTTTAGCATGGACATTTGCGCCGACCGTTAAAAGATAGCGAACGATTCCTATATTTCCTCCGCAGCAAGCTATATGCAAAGCTGTTCGGCCATCTGCGTCCCCTTGCGTCATATCTGCATTCTAAGCAAAAAAAGCTGATTCTATTGATAAGGAAATGACCCCCTTCGTCTTTATATTAGAATATCCTAATATCTAATTGGTATATTTCATAATCAGCTTGTTATTAATATTTAATTTTGTGCTGGCATTAGAGCCAAGACACTGATTGAAACTCCACGTTACTCTACGCTAAAAATGCAACACAGAAAAGTTTGGTAGGATATTCGGTAAATTAAGTTACTTTAATGTTTCGTGTGTCTTCTAGAGTCTCCCGTTGAGCTTCGGAAAATACTGAATTATAATGTAAAATTAAGTAGAAGTGGAAATCACTGAACGTATTCTTTTAACTGCTTGAGTTTCGTGATGTCGCGCTTGATCGCTGCGTCGTTCATCATAGCTGGCAGCAAATACGATTTCACGTCCTGAAAACCTTCTGTCGAAGATAATCTCAGAGATTGCTCCACAGCCTTCAGTAAGTCGTAATCCCTGGTGTTGGGCAATCGGCCGGATGTCAGTTCACCCCGTAAATTAGTTTCCATCATTAGTCGCTTGGTTTCCGTGTCCCACTCGCTTTTCGATAAAACGTACGCGAGTTTCGTCAACGCAGCCTCCGGAGTCATATCGAAGCCCGACGTCACTCCTGAATGATTGATAACAAATTACTGAGAGGAGCAAGTTAACCATTGTTTGCTGAATAGAATATGTGAACTTTTAACACTTTCAACGTTATCGGCAAAGCAACATGCTTATTGATAATCTCTTCGAGATCTCTTCTTTTTCTAATACGCTATCAAGGTAATACGTAATAGAGGAAACGCGAGAGCAAGACCTGGGAGCTTGAATTATAATTGTTATTGTATATTAAATATAATTACCATTGAAGAGCATTCAAAACGCGGAAATTTTATTAATAATTTTATATTCACTGTATCCGATTACAACGCTATTAAGCCAAGGTCTAAATTATTTTTATGAATTGATATAATGCCGTTTAAATTACGAAAACACGATACCGGCTTCCCGGAGCAGTTTCCCAGCTTCGTATACATCCGAAACGGATCCAGTCATACATTGCGTAATATTTACGATAATCACACCACGCGCCGCTGCTTCGGCAAGCACATTGATGATATCTCTGCGATTTGTCGGGATATTTCCTGAACCGTAAGATTGCAACACGACCCCCTCGATGGGTGGCTGCAGGAACGCTTTAACCAGTTTGTACGTGATCCCGGGAAACAGTCGAAGCAGACCCACATTTTGATTAAGAGATGTGTGCACATCGAACTTCTGCAAGGTGCATGGTCGGAAAAACGAGCCGTACTCAACTGCGAAGGAATATTATTTTTGAGCAATCTATAGCGAGATGCGCTAACTCACTAATTTAATTTGACATTTGTGATCGCGGCTCTAAGTTTGATGTATTGTGTCGGAGGGAGTCAACAAATTCATTCGATTTTTTACTGAGATTTGACTTTGTTGCAATTCAATAGGAACAAATTACTTGTTAACCAAGCCATTGCTGCCTTAGTCTACGCATATCGCCAAAGTGTTATCCGCTACTTAAAATCTCGCATCTTTTACATTTATACGATATGAGATATCTTATATTTATATGACTTTTTATATATAATAATTATATTCATATAAAATCTTATATAATATAATTTTACATAATATAATTTTACATAATATTTTGCAGATATTTTTATTTCCCGGATATTAATGATATCCGGGATATCTAGACTTTCCTTTTCTTTTTTTTTTTTGTAATTATTGAATGAATCTCTGATTTTCTTACTTTAAATCTGTTTTACCTTTAATCTTGATGTGCGCCGTAGCCAGAGGTAAGCAGTTCGGTGATTGGAAAGCGTCAAAAGAGCAAGCGGATATTTTGCTCGTCCGATTGCCGCGCATTAGGTTCGTCCCGAAGAAAACGCATACCTCAGGTATGTTATAACTCGCTGCGATCACCAGCGATGCCAAGAAATTATCTAGACCATCGCTCCTTGGATGGAAAATTGGCATCTGCGAACCGGTTAGAATGACCGGCTTGCCTAAATCCTCAAACATGAAGGACAAAGCGGATGCTGTGTAGCCCAGTGTGTCAGTACCGTGAAGGATTACAAATCCATCATAATTGTCGTAACATTTCTGCACAAAAACCAATACAATGATTATAATAATATATTATATTAATAGTTATACACGTCTCTCATCGCACTTTATCAACTTACGGAATATTTTGGCAGTAAATTTGCCAAAATATTCCGTATTAAAGTGAATTTGAAAATTGCAAAAAATCTCAAGAAACTACAGATATTCCTCTTCAATTAAGTATTAAATGTTACTTGAATATACATTATATAAACATTTTAGTTAAAAATTATATCTGAATACATATTTTTAAAGAAAGACTCAACCATATAATAATGTCATGTGTCAATTGCTGATATGTTACTGTCAAGCACTTTTTCACATTTGCTCGTATCTTAAGCCTTTGCTAAATAAATTAATTTTATGTAAGTTTGATTTATCTTTCCACATGGAATCATTACTGATCGTCTTGATTGTACAATCAGTCGCAGGGCTTCCTGTTTACTCATGTTGATACGATGATTATATTTCTAAACTATTTGTCCTTGGAAGAAAAAAAATCTCAAAGTTTTGTCTCTAGTATCATTGTTATTCACACGTTATTCACACCTTGATATACTTAGCAATATGAATCCAATCATCCATAGTTATATTACTAGAGTCGCACACATTTGAGAACTTTGATATCTTGTAAATGACCCGACGGTTGTCGGCTGCGGTTTCGCTGCAAAATTAAAAAAAACAATACTTTTGACGTTGAATACAAAAAAGGCAAGATAAGAAGGAGAGAGAAAGAAAGAGAGAGAGAGAGAGAGAGAGAGAGAGAGAAAGGGAGAGAAAGATCCCGACCAGTAAAGTCCGATTATATAATTGTATGATTGTTAAATAAAAATACTAAATTAATAAAATAAAATAAAATTAATGAAATTAAACGAAGACGATCACAAAATGTGTCAATCGTAACATCTCGCACTTTGTATTCAATTATAATAAACATTGTTCGCCTGCACAACCAAGATCAAATTAAATAATGTCTTTACTTACGGAAGTACTAAGTGTGATTCTCCTAATTGACTATAATTTCGAGAGGCATACTCGCTATCATGTAACTGCGGAAAGTTCCTTAAAGCCGTGATAAATTCATCGATCACTGGCCTTAGCACTAGAAAACAAATATTTATTTTTAGAACAAAAATACGTAGAGAAAGATAGATAAAGATAGAGACAAAGAGAAAAAGAGAGGAAATACAAATTCGGCGATATAGAAGAATCATGGAAGCAAACATGCAAAAAAATTTAATTTATTAACAGTCGAAGCTTCTTGGATTATTCTAATTTCTCGAAGTACATGCTGTTTAACGAGAATACCTACCTCCTTCCTTGTTTCTCAGCATTCCTATCGTACCACCTGTGTACAACACTAATACTTTCCCTTCCGGTTTAATACAGAGGAATTTCTCGCGAACATTTTCGTTATTAAAGTTATCCACATTAGTATCGCTATTGCTAATACCAGGCACATCTTTCTGCGCCTCAGAAGGCGATAACGATGACATAATCGTTTGCGAATAATTTACGAACGACTTATCGCCTTAACAGCTTGTACGAGACTGATCTTTCATGCAAGTGTAACCGCTGATTTGACTTGATTTGGTCGTCGACAGCCGCCGCTTTCGATTACTGACAGGAACAGATGTGCTTCTTTTTATAGTCTTCTTTTTCTTATTGGCACTGGCAATATCACGGTTTAGCAGCGATTTTATGGAATCTGTTTGTAAGTTATCATATGTACTTGCGTGTTAACCGGTGAATTTCATTCTAGAGCTGCAAGTTTATTTGCATTGTTATTCTTAGTTTTGTCATGGGAAATCTTTCAAAGAGGATTAATGGGATCAAGATAAAGAGATGATAGTATTTAGGAAAATATGCAGTTTTATTTATCAAACGTTATATACAGAGTGATCCGAAATTCCCGCATTCGGAGTACAGGACATGATATTTTATGCTAAAACAAACAACTTTTTCCTTCAGCAAAATTGCGTCCGACGTAGTTCCGAAGTAGTTTTTGCAGAAGAACGAGTTAAAGTTAACGAATAAATGCTCTCATCTATGTAGCGCTCAGGGCCGGCTCGCGCGCCTCACTCGCGTGTATCTAGTCCAGTGAATATTCTAGTATTCATAAGTAATATCTTTTAAGACGCTCATACGGCTCTGTTGCGATTAGTTGACGACATCTTAAGATTGTACTTAAGACAATTTTAAATAATAAGAATCAACTATAAACAATACCGGGATTTCACAATTCTCAAAGCATATTACTATTTACATCTGTTTTTATTTTTAGATGATATTGTGGAATCAGACAATTTTTTATTCATTTATTACGTAAGAAATAAAGGCAGTACTTATTTTATTAACTTTTCATTACTTAAGCAATACAATATGGAAGAAGGTCAAATCCCGGTATGTTGTTCATAGTTGATTCTTATTATTTAAGATTGTCTCAAGTACAGTTTTAAGATATTGTAAACTAATCACAACAGAGCCGTATGAGCGTCTTAAAAGGCATTACTTATGAATATTAGTTACTGACTAGATACACGCGAGTGGGGCGCGCGCGCCGGCCCTGAGCACCACAAAAATAGACAAAAGCACTTATTCGTTTACTTTAACACGTTCTTCTACAAAAACTTGTCGGACGCAATTTTGGTAAAGGAAGAAGTTGTTTATTTTAACATAAAGTATTATATCCTGTACTCCGAATGCGGGGATTTCGGATCACCCTGTATAGATAAGAAAATCCAGCAGCTCATAACACAATATTATTATCGCCGACTAAGTCAACTACCGAATGTAGTGAAATAGTTCTTTGAGTTTACTTCTAGAGTTTATTTCTTGCTAATAATCTTACTTAATAATCCGATATTGTAAACATATAATTCTTATGGGGATCAGAAACTTACATAATTAACACAGAATCTTTCCTTTACACAATACTTGAGAGAGATGCTATTACGCTGCCGCTTAATTGTCCTTATCACTTAATGCGCTTATCAGTTTTCCTCACTTTTCCTTATGCCTGTACACTCCCTTGAACAACGGTTTGCACAGATTTTTTGTTTTACAATGAAATTAGGAGCGCAATAAACTATTACGATCTTCACGAACTCACGCGACAGTTGGTGATGACAAAAATCATAGAAGAAGCTACGCGAATCGATATATGGTCCATCAGATAAAAGTATAATAAAAGGCTAATATTTGTATATAATATAAGGTAACGCTTATAATCGTTATCATTTGGTGCGCTCTTGACTTTATCAAGAACATCGGGTGTAAATCGTTGTGTAAATGAATGCACATGATCACACGCTGCACAACTACGGCTCCCTCTAATAAGCTCTAATATGCACCACTAACGATACCACATCTTGCGAACGCGCTGCTCTTCAAAAGCGCTTACTTCGCGCGCCATACGATTGTCCTCACATATCGATTATCGCGCGACTCTATCGAAGTGTTACTGCTAATAATTCATTCGCGAAAATTATCAACAATTTCTTTGCGCACAGTGAAGCTTTTATATTAGTCTAGGCTCGATTTTATTAATCTATATATAAATATCTGGACAGAGCAGACGTGATGTCGAACAAAAAATTATTATTTAGGAAAAATCAAGATGAAAAGAGATCATACCATGACCGGTTTTGTAAAATACAAATAATCGATATCAAAATAATCGAGATGACATCGACGACTCCTAGCGGTACATTGCGCGTGTACTTGTTGCGGGACGTGTTGTGCTCTAATTAATCATGACGATCGAAGAGGAATTGAAAGAATACAGGCGTAAGAAGCGTAAGGAAAAGATTACGAAGTCGATTAAAATCGCAATTGAAAATATGTTCTCGTGGAATAGCAATTGTGAAGCGGAAAAATTGATTGAAAAATCAACAAAGGAAGAGGAGGTGAGGTTATATGAGTTTTTCTTCTAAACTTCTAGCCTTCTTAGATAACTTCTTACAATAAATATTTTAATGAAATTTAAGAAATGTACTCATATTTTAGACATACTTTGCGTATGTTTAAACTTTCTTAAAATAATGTTTCTTAGTTTTTGTATGTGCACATTGCAGCGATATAAAAATTAAGATTAAGAGACAAAAGGTGAATTTGATGTATGAGAAATATTCTTTTTTTTGTTAAAAGATTCAGCTTTGTAAGAAGGCACAAGATGTACAGGATGTACAGGAAGATAATTTGGATACTTGCTTGGAAAATAATACACAGGAATCAGAAAGTACAGTTATTACTAAAGTGATTTATATATTGTACTTCATGCTATGGGTTACACTATATGCTATTGCAGTGGAGTATGAATTTGGTGCTGTTTATTTCATATTGTCGACTTTAATATTTATTTGGTTAAATACTAGATCCGGACCAAAGCAAAAAGGTGAACCTAGTGCCTATTCTGTTTTTAATCCAAATTGTGAAGCTATAGAAGGAACACTTGATGCATCACAATTTGAGAGAGAAATAAGATACGGTATAGGAGGGTGCCAATAAATTAAGACAAATTGATAATCTATATGTAAGCATAGTATTATGTTGATGCATTTTAATTTATTTAAAATCTGAAAGTATAGCTAATTTTCTTTCATGTGGTATAATAATTTAAGCATTATATGATGCAAATGGCAATTATAACTTTACTATTTGAAAGAATACATGAGTTAAGCCTATAATGTCTAAACATAAATGTAGATTATGTTTAATGCAATTGATTCGCATCTGAATATATATCTGTAAAAATCTTGTCTTATTATTTAATACTTTATTTGAAATAAGTTTAGTATTTTTATTTTTGATTACAAATTAAGTGATAAACTTTAATAATTCTAAAGAAATATGAAATATGATAAACAAAATATAGACATGTTAAACTATTTTTACAATTATAATCATTATATGATGTTATATATTGTGGTATACTGTACATACTAAAAATTATAAATATTAAAATAAAATAGGGAACAAGAAGTATATATGTATGTTTGTCTGTGATGCATGTATGTGTGTATGTTGTGTGTGTATTTAATATCTAGTATATGGACAGAAATGTAATATAATTTATATATATCTGCCAAATTATTATTGTACATGAACAAACAATAATAATTGTATTAAAACAAAAAGCGAAGCATGTACTAAAACATTTTTATTTTTATAATATGCGAGCGAATGAAAATGTAAAAAATTTAACAATTGAACTTGTTTTGATACTTATAATATATTGTATGTTATAAACTGGAATCACGATAGATTCTGGATTCCTGAAATATCCAAGATAGGTCTATCGAAAAACACATATTGTTACAACGAATATATATTTTGTATCAAATAGATAAAGATAAGACAGGACTTGTCTATAACTTATCATTTTCTAATTTCTTATTTCGCGAAAGCATTTCTGTACGGACTTCTTTCCTCCTACGTTTCTTGTAAAACTTGTATAGCGTCTTCATAACATTTTATCATATTATCGAGGTAATTTAGTGTATCGCTCGTAGATTCCACTGATAGTTTGCGAAGAATCGCTAAATCGGTTTTGGAATGGAAGCTTTTGTCTGGGCATAAAAGCGCTCTATCGAGATCCAAAATCAGATCGTTCCATATTCTTACATGTAATGTCCTAAAATATTCCTTCATATGTATCGATATAATCATATATTTTTTATAATATTGCATCCAAATAACTTTCTTAACAAATATATCCACCGATGTGATACAATAGCGTTATTCATTTCGAAATAAAAGAGATAATTTCAATAAGAAACATGCTTACTGCGTATTCTCCATTGCGTCAATTTTTATGTTGAGATCTTCCATGGCAGCTAGTAACATCCTCAACGTCTTTCTCAATTTTTCTAAAAAATAAAGGAAGAAAACAGAGAGATGTTCAGTTCAGTCTTTTCAATGATTTGTAGGAAAAATCTTAGAGAACGAAACATACCTATAGTGCTCGGAAACTTGTCAATTGATTCCAATACTTTATTAACGGTTTCGTTGAAATATCTTGGCTCCCACTTCATAATTATGCTCTCAGATAGTCGCCATATAGTTTGACTAACCATTTGCATTAGACTTACACCATGTAATCGTAAATTTTGATCGTGGTGAATTTGGTTTCGCGTAAGATTGCTCTCGCTCTGTAAAAAAAAAATTATAGACATTTGTAGAACACAAATATACATTTCACTGTTTAACGTATCAATACAAATAGAAATAAGTGCAAAAATATGATTTGAAGTATATAATACAAAATAACGATATATTTTATTGAATCAAACATTTGGGATCATTCCGCATTATCCTGATCAAGCGCGACGTTCTTACACAAAACGATCTACATACTTACGAATGAAAATGACACTTGAGGCATATCCAGGAAAAGGCGGGAACCTGATCCTTCGCGCCCAAGGTATGTCCAGTTACTATTACCAGGAACTGTTTTGATAGCTTCGATAGCTATTGACTGCACAACATCGGATCCGGGTAAAGTCACATATCTGTCAGCTGGAACGAAATAATTTCTTGTATTAATTTAATCTTCTCGAAGAATACATGGAATACTAATACGTAGAATACATGGAAATTCGGACAACCTTGCAAAAAATGACCATGTATCGCCACATACGCTACGACTTTCCGTCGTAGAAAATCGGACAAAGTCTGCGGACAAACATCCAAAGGCACCAGGGACACGCAGAAGATCAGACTTCGTCGTGGCCGCCAGTCGTGCGTTGAATGCATTTTATTCAGAACCTGCATCATTTCCAGAATTAAAGTGATACCGTCTCCGTTGGCTGATAAGATGACATATCTATCTGAAATAATTCGGTATAAGAAACAGTCAAAATTATATTTAAAGAATGTTTAATATCCTTTTCTTGCTTCGAGTAAAATGGGTACAGTCACAAAACGCATAAAATAATTGCGATCTTTAATCATACAATCGAAATTGGAAAAATAATTATGACACATATTCAGCGAGCTCTTTTTTTAACACAGACCGAGAGTTAAACCTCGGTAAAAGCAAAAAGTTTTTTGATCAAATCTTGAATTAATATATATACGATAATATTTATATTATTGATAATAATATTTATATTTATATAAATATAACAAATATGAATTTTGCATATCAACTAATTGAGGACTCACCTGGTTCTCGCGACCCGCGAACAGTTGCGCGAATACATGACGTATAATTGATTACTTCGTGGATAAATGATAAGTTGGAAAAAAATCCGCTAATATGCCGTATTTCGTCTTCTGAGTTCTCCCAATTTCTAGTTAGAGAATAATTGAAAAGAATTTATAAAATTCGGTTCTACGATCGTCTATATTAGTATATCGAGAGTCTAAATCTAAATTTATTTAATCTGATCAAAGATACAACGTTATAAACATTTTTTTCTTAATAAGCCATAATCAATAGTTAAAATGTTTGATTGAATCTTTGTTTCATCAGTCGATTATTATAATTTATAAATATAAGACATATGTGTACAGACGACGTACGTTGCATAGTCGTGGTCGAAAGATATCTCTTCTAGTTCCCGAAGCGTTAGTTGTTGAAGGTATTCTGTATTTCGAAGACCATTGTCCGCCAATTCAAGGCGCGTCTTTTGCACTCGAGCCTCTATCGATCTCTCGACTGCGAAACGACCCAACAGAAAACCGCAGAGGAGGCAGAAAAAGCCGATTGAAAAGGTAAATGAGAAGCATAATCGTTTCGTTACATATTCGCTGGACTCGCTGGTGATGCGACTCATTTGGAAGCTAAGAACTCGATGCATCCTCACAGAAAGCTTATACGAGTCTCTTCGAGCGTCTTATTGATGGCTCCTTCTTGTCAATTTTATCCTTCCTGTATCATATTTCGACGGACTAAAATTTTTCTTTCGTGCAACAATACGCTACATTGTAAAATTAAACACAGTTTCGTCAGGTTTAAACAAATCTAAAGAATTCTAGAAATATATAAAAAGAAAATCGTTATCGAGTCTCTCAGTAGCAAGTTTGGCTTCAACTAAAAGATCTCTCTCTTTTTATATCATAAATCAGACGATCCTTTTCGTGTGTACTCTTCTTCAACAAAATCCACGTGCGCGAAATCGCTTTGATCGCTAATCATTTGAGCACAAGTTTAATCTTAAATATTAAAGTTCTATCGGAGAAACGACATTTACGATATTTTCACGAAGAACTCGCGCGAACATTTTAATTAACGAAAGATGAAACAAAAATATAATCCACTTGCACAAATCGGAACAGTGATGCAGGTCAGTTATACAAACAAAAACGACGGGATTCACTTGGTTGTGATAACGCGATGGTCATTACACACGGCGATAAATCATCGTTGAAATTTCGCGTAGACATGTGACGCGTCTACGCGGACTCGGACTGTTCTGGCTACTTGGAAGAAAATCGCACACCCGATTTTGATTACAGAAATGTTCGATACAACTGTTTCCCGCTGTTTTCGTTGCGACTAAATCGCGGGGGACACCGGAGATATATTTGACAGTCTGTGTCCGACGTCGTTCCGCCTCTCCGACGTCTCGTTTATTTTATTCTCGCGTCAAAAGCGTGCAGGAATGCGCGTTTCGCTTTTTTGCACTCGGAGGAAAAGAAGAAAGAGCGAACGATGAGAGTGTGTAAACGGTATACAAGGTGTCCTGGGAGCAAGATATAGAAACGAAAATTATTTTATTATCCAAATCCGCACTCGAGTTTTGCTGGAAAAATATCTCGGACATCCAATTTTAACGAATTTAGTATCTAATTTAATTTAATTTAATACAACGAGCAATTTTTCAAGGAGATTTATTGGATTGTTATATTGAGCGAAATAATGTGGATAAATATAAACTGTTTTTTATTTCTAAAGTGATAATCATATTTTAGCCAAGGTTTAGCAATTACAAAAAGAGAAAAATCTCATTGAAAGACTTTATAATGTAGCAAAATTTTTCAAATACACAAAATATTCGGCGCAATTAAAAATTCTTTGAAGATGCAGCATTGTTACATATGTTTCTTGAGCACCTTATATACAGATATTGGGTAACTTATTTCGGGCAATAATACGATGGCGACGTTTCACTTATAAATAGTTTCGATGTATTACGTGCACGTGCAAGGTTGTTCCAACTATAACTTCTTCTGTACGAACTTTCGAAATATACGGATTTTTCAGGTGTATTAATGAGAATCTTGGTTTTATTAGTTTTGTTATCATAAGTTTTGTCATTTTTGAATTTCTGAATAGCATCTGCATCTTCTAAAAAACTACATAAAATACATAAAATAAAAATCTTTATATAATTATGAGAGAGGAATAATTGTAAATTAATTGTAAATTGTAAAAGGAAATTATTCCGTATAATTCAACCTTAAAATATTCTCAGTCTTTTCATATAGTTATTTTACAACAACACGCTACTGAAAAGTTTAGGTATACGAAAGTCTGAATAATTTAGGTGAAATGTACAACCACATGTATTCCAAAATACATTATATTAAATATTTTATTGATAAAAAATACGAAAAAATTTCAGTCATATTTATAAAAATTATACAATAAATTTTATTTGTTGATTAATATAAACTTTATGAATTTTTACGGTTATTGCTGTTTTCAAGCTTAATTGATTAATAATTCTGATTTATGTATAATTATATATTGCTTTTTAATGTCATTACAATTGTTTGGAAATCAAAATTAAAAATAAGATGCCAATTTTAATGTAATATAACGAAGACGCATCAATTGTAACTGTAACTGTAACTACTTCAATTTTCAAGCAGCAATTTTTCTTAGATTAAATAACATTTCAATGGATATGTTACTTGCACATAGAGAGAAAGTTTCCCTAAGAAATTTATTTTATGAAATATTATCTTAATTTCCATATTCTTTTCACTTATGAATTCTTACATTAAAAATAATTTCATTATCGTGTATAATATACAGGAATCAGTGTTTAACAATAATTAAAGATATAAATATACGATGCATACACAAATCTCATATCTCAAGAATTGATTTACTTCGTAGATCTGCAAAATAAATTAGTCTTAAAATACAAATATATTTACATCCAATACAAATATTTAACTTGTATTTAGCTTCATTTTCTAAAATATTATCTTTATTGCACACATACGCGCGCACAAGCCCATATAAATGAAATATCACATTGTCCCGCGCATGTTGAGTATGACGTTTGTCGGTACGTATGTTGCATATGGAGTTTGTTAGGTGCGTATGTTACGATAAATCAGGAAGTTGCACAAATCGGAGAGGATCTTTTCGCACTCCTCGCACATGTAATAAGCGCTCGTGTAACCTTCCGTTACTTTCGATGTATTGTTTCGATATATTCGTTTGGAGACATATCTCGTATATTCATAAAGGGAGTTTATCGCGAGGCTCTTTCAAATCCTCGGCCTTTCCCCAGTCTTATTTAACTGGCAGTTTGTCACATGATCTTCTCGCAACTGCAATCTTTTATTGAAGTCACCCAGATGAAATAGAGTTGCAACAATTACAGATCCTGCTCTGTAGGATTTCTCGTCCTTCTGTAAGCTGTTTCGAGCGTGTCCCGTCCCTTCGACACTCGTCATACGAGACAGCCAACTGAAAAGAGACTCCGTTACTTCGCGTCGGTCAAACAGCGCGATTGAATCGTGATTGGCTTGTGATTGAGTCTTTTATGATTAATTAAGTAACGTTTCTGTCGGAACGAGAGGTCGCAATCGGTGCAGCGCCACGGTTTCTCGTCCGAGTGGATCAATCGGTGTCGTTTCAACTCGTACTTTATACGGAAGCAACGGCCACAGACGTCGCAGGCGTACGGTTTCTCACCCGTGTGCTTGGTAATGTGCACCATCAACGGCGGTCGCGTGCGGAAGGTTTGCTCGCAGTAGCTGCACTTATACGGGAACACATCCGAGTGCGTGCGGTTGTGCACGAAGAGGGAGGCCTTCTGCTTGAACGTCTTGCCGCATACGTTGCAGACGTACGGTCTTTCGCCAGTGTGGATACGCCGGTGGTCCTCGGCGTTGCGCCGCGTGGAGAACATGCGACCGCACAGGTCGCACGGTATGTTCTTGATGCCGGCGTGTGTCTCCTTCAAGTGGCGTGCCAGGCCCTGATTTACGCGAAAGCGCTTGCCGCACATGTGACAGGTGAACAGTCGTTCACCCGTGTGGATGCGTATGTGCCAGTAAAAGGTGTAAGGCGAGTTCAGGTTTTTCCCGCACTCGCCGCAGTGATAGTACACCTTACCGTCGTGCTCCATCCTGGCGCGCAACACAGTCTCCGTGTCCACGAATGATCTCCGATTTTTCCTCGCAAACTCGGAGTGCAGTTCCTGCAGGTGGACATTCAACAGTTTCTTCTTCTCCGCCGTGTACTCGCAATATCTGCAGGGATAAGTTCGCGACGAGCGTTTTCTCAAAGACCTTTCTGGTTCAGCACGACATTCGCCTTCGTCGTCTTTTGCGCTCTTCGTCTTGCAATTTTTCAGGTGGCTTGAATCTTCTTGCTTCAGCGGATCGTCGTTTATTTTCTCGTTCTTTCTTGTCTCTTGAACGCATTCAACCGTCGACAACTCCGTTTGACCGATCGCACTGCGTTTCTCACAGTTTGTTATGTGCTGCGTTAGACGGCGTTTTGTCTTGAAGATGCGTTGACAGTTATCGCAAGTGTATCCATTCTCCGTTGAACTTGAATATCGACACTTGGGAGCGTTTGAGTCCTCCTTCTGATCGAATTCTACTTCGAATTCTACTTCGCTGCTGCGATCCGACGAGTCGCGAGTTTCTCTTTCTGAGATCGCTCTGGCGTTCTCTACGGTCGTTGTTAATTTCGCCGTCGCGTCCGTGGACTTACTTTCGTACTTTGTCATGAGATTATTCACCCATCGAGTAGCGTTACGCGAAGAACAGTACGCCGCGAAGGATTTCTCTCTTGCCGGGCCACACCTGGAAAAACAAAGGCGGCAGATTTGAATCGGTTTCCTCGCTAGCGTATCACCGAAGGACCATGTTCACGCAAAACAGAGTAAAAGGTCGAGAAACAGACAGACAGAGAAAAAGGCAAGGAGGGAGGGCAGTAATTTTGGTTGTCAGACGCGGGAGTCGTTTCATCGCTAAGCATGTTCTCGTTGTTACACTCGCAGGAATTCATTGTGCCGACTTTTGATGTGATTGTTCAAGTAGCGCTTCTGCCGAAAAGCGAGGCCACACTTGGCGCAGACGAACGGCTTGTTCTCCGAATGAATGAGTTGATGCCGCGCGAGCTCGGATTTGATGCGGAACTTCTTGCCGCATGTGTCGCACGTGTGATTCTTTTCGCCGGTGTGCTTGGTCACGTGAGCGAGCATCTCCTGTCGGCGGCGGAACCGCTTGGCGCAGTATGAGCACGCATGCGGGAATTCGTCGGTGTGCAGCTTGCTGTGGATGTAGAGGGACGCCTTGGACTTGAAAGTTTTGCCGCAGGAGTCGCAGACATACGGCCGTTCGCCGGTGTGCGTACGTCGGTGATCTTCGCGCGTGGCCTTGGACGCGAACGAACGGCCGCACAGGTCGCATGTAAAGTTCTTCAGCTTTGCGTGTACATCCTTCAGGTGTCTGGATAGACCGCCAGAGTCGCGGAACTGTTTGCCGCAGATGTGACAAGTGAACGGTCGCTCGTCCTTGTGGATCCTCATGTGCCGCAAATAGGAGTCTTTTAGTTTGAAACATTTGCCACACTCTGCGCACTGCTTGTGCGATTTGCTGGCATTGTGCCGTTTTCTCTTCTTCTTCTGGCCCTCGTCGGGAGTCGGCACTTCCTCCGCTTTAACGGGCAATCTCAAGGGATCAATGCTCTGCGGCTGTTCCGCAGGCAACTCGGTCGGTTGATCGAGCGATGTGCCCATAACGGCCACCCAGACTGAATCGCAGTCCTTGACCGTGTCTGGCTTTTTCGCACACACAGCTTCCACAGGTCGTTTCCTGTATGGCTTCCAAAATACATTCTGCGTGTCCAGGAACACTTTAAACGGTGTCTGGACACCGCAGGACCTGCAAAATAGCCGAAACTTGACACCAGATTTGCGCGTGTATGGCACGACGTAGCGGATGGTTGCTGTTTGAGTTGCTTATCACGGATCTTATCTTTCCGGATAGAACCTTTAGAACCAACTTCTGGTTGTTTCGATATAAATATTTATATACTTATAAAAGCGTGTACGAATAAATAAATTAATATATACACATATAATCACATTTATATATATTTTGTTGTGTTTTGGTCAGAGTCTTCAATTAAATCATTGAAAAAGTTTTTTTGGACTGCCCAGTGCCAGCAAATTGTCTAGCTTTTTTTTTTTTTAAAGAAATCATTCATCAAGTCACAATTTATCATAATGCATATTATAGTTATTGAGCTTTGTACTCAATATAAAATAGTATTTCCATTCTTTCTCTCAAAATACATGAAATGGAACAAACACAGTGGTGCCTATTCGTGTTATATTTTCTTCAAAGATATTCTGGCTCTTAAAAGTATTCTACTCCACTCCATACCTTTCTTAGACGTTCATTTAAGCACTGAATTGCAATTATAATGAAAATTATGTTTATACACAAGAAGAAAAAGTGGTGTAGAATATTGTATTCTTTTATATTATGTTATAAATTATAAAAGGAAGAGATTATTACCTGTTAGATTTATTAGTTTCTTCTGTATCATATGTACTATCTTTGCCTTCAGCCTGCTGATCAGTCTGCAATAAAAAAAAATATATAAGTAAATTTTTAATATATAAAAGTTACTTTTTTCTATTTAGTGCATAAACTTACTTGTGGAATTACTACATTAGATACAGTTGAGATTGTAGAGGTGACTGATGCAGGAACATCCAAATTAACTGAAGGTATACCATTGCAATTCTATATGATTTAGAAAAAACATAGTTAAACTACGATATATATATGACTTAAAAACTTTAAATAAGCTTTCTTTAAAGATATACTGCTAATGATTTACAACTACACGTTACCTGCTGTTTACTCTGCAGTGTATCTTTTATTTCTAGCAACTTTTTTTCCGCATTTAGACAATCTTTACTTAATTCATGCCAAGCCAATAGTGTGACTGCACAGTGATAACACAATTGTAACGGCAAAGTATCACTTCTGGATATCTATGGACAAACAATTCACATTCACTAGAATATTCAGTGCTTGAATGAAGCATAAGGCAATGATTGTTATACACACTTGTATCGGCAAGTACTTGAGTATTTTACTAGATAAGTCAAGTTCCGCTCCTTCTCCCTCAAAGATAGATATTAAATGATCACTAGCGTTAGCACATATCCTGCAAAGATCTGTCCATTGAAATGTTTCCTCCGTTTGACGCTTATCTAGTGTTGCTTCCTTGACGTTTGTGCTGGAGTATTGGTTCTCTTGAATCTGCGACACTAGGAAGAAGTCCTCTTCATTCTCTATTTCCTTATAACCTTCTCGCTTTACTATACGTTTCATGGTTTCAAACAGCATCGAATCTTCTCCAGAGGATTCGAGTATCGTTGAATTTCTGGCTTCCATGCCAACTTGTTCAGAGTGATTATTTTGACATAATGAAATGCTTTGTTCCGTCATGTTCGTTGTTCTCATAATATAGTTATCATTCTAATCAAGTGTTACATATGACTCCCAGCATACACTTGATTTTCGTGGAATGAGCATGCCAAAAAATCGCGTGAGTACCAGCGTCCTTCTTTTCACAACATAAACTCTTTATCATCAACTCAATATATTGCGCCGCTAGTGCTGGAAGATCCAGAGAATTTCCGAGCGTGTGCATTGAGCAAACGCTGTGGGAGCCTCAGTACCGTATTAATTTAAAGGTATTATATCGCCCGTAAGATACTATGCAAAACAAATAAACGTTAAAAAGAATACTTATGTTAATGTTGAACACAATACTTAGTACTATCATTAATAATATGTAAATGTGTTTAATATCACAAACTTTCACTGTTATTGAACGTACCTGATGCCATGTCAACCAATCTTTAAAAATGTTCATACCTAACCACGGTGTTCTAAATTTTTGTGCTCCAACTTTCCTCTTCTCGATGCCACTGGTTGAAGGTTGGTCATCCATTTTCACAGCATTTAATATTTTATTTAACAAAAAATGAACACTATGACTGCACTATGATATCACTGATTGCACTATCACTATTCTTACACACTACATATAAACACTAAGTAACATTTACATCACATTAATTAATGATATTAAGAAATTATAATGTTGATGTGATATAACATAAATATAACATTTAATGTTTACTGAGTAACATAAGGGCAAGAGCACAGGCTTTTGCATAACACATAATACATAACGCATAAGAGAATAAACCAATTAGTTTTCTTCATTTCCCTTCTCAGGACAGAAATGAAGAACTCTGATTGGTTCATTCTCTTATGCGTTGTGTATTATGCGTTATACGGAAGTCTGTGCTCTGGCCCTAACCCTAAACTACGCACTCGCAGAAGAAACGCGGGAAAACAACTACGAAAGACACGGATATTTTGCGCGGGCCCCTCCATGGATCCTCTGTCATGCATTTTAAACCGTCAGTGGTTTTTGACATATATGTAGCTCTACGTCACTTCAGGCATGCGCTGTAGCGTGGGAAATTCTTTGGATCTCCCAACACTATATTGCGCCATAGAGTCGAATGGGAGAGAACTGAAACTTAACATCACATAGAGTGGAAGCAGAGAAAAGCCTGAGAGCCGCCATGGCGTCGATTTTGATGACGGTGCTTGGCCTCTCTCTGGTGGAAGATTTTTCTGATGGTAGTTTCAGCTGCGATCACTTGGAGGTGCTCGATGCAATTGGAGTCGCCACTTTCGTTGGAATTCTATTTAAAAGTTTACAGGAGCCAAGAGCAGATCCCAAATTGACTTTAGTAGTCTCACGCAGCAAGAATATGAAACAGAATTTCTACGCAGAGGTATATATCCATGCGATTCTTAATGCACCGCTCGCACGGATGCAAGATTTTTCTTTAGCCTTTGACATCCTGCGATGCGTCGCATGCTCCTACTTTGCCATATATTTCACTGTCCGGAACTTGGAAAGAAAAAAATTTGCTATCAGTTAATAAGACAGTAGCGTATCAAAGTCTCTACGCACATATTTTTTTTTTATGATTTTTTATGATTTTATGATGCTAATTTATACAATATCTATGCAGAAATTGTCACGTAGACATCAGTGACATTAGTATCGCAAGTCTAGCTCTTGAGAGAGAGAGAGAGAGAGAGAGAGAGAGAGAGGGGGAGAGAGAGAGAGAGAGAGAGAGAGAGAGAGAGAGAGAGAGAGAGAGAGCACGAGATAAATAACAAATCGGATACTCTTCAAGTTTAAGTATACTTGGCGAATTATTGGTAAAAAGCGTACGAGCGTGATGTGATCGGGTAGAAATAACGATAGACATCCCAATGAAATCCAATAGTAAATCGTTTATTAGTACGAAGGTATGTGATAGTGTCTCGAGATTGGCCTCGGTCGACATTCGTGATTAAAGATGTAGACCGTGGTAACGTGATGCCGTGACGTGAACGAGTGAGTGTGACAGAGCTTCTTGTTCCTTAGCTGATGTAAGAGATAGATGTTAGAGCTAGTTACCCTGTTCTGCGAGCTGGCGTTCTTCTCTTCCGTCGACGTTGATTCCGGTCGACCCTTCGCGAGGAATATTCCTCGTTGGCCGACGATCGACCCCTCAATCCCATCGTTCGCTCTAGGCTTACGTTAACTCTCTAGTATAAGAAGGTCTAACAATATTCGAACCGAATCAACCGCCCAGACAGCACAATGTCCAAAACTGGGACATAAGACGTCTTTAAGACGTCTTTAAGACGATTTAAAGATGTCTTATTTTCAGATATCTTAAAGACGACTTAAAGATGTCTTAAAGACGTCTTATGTCCCAGTTTTGGACATCTGGGCGCGAAGTGAGAGCTCGAAATAAACATTGCTGTAATCCGTGTCGGACGCAACTTCTTATGAATTCTCAATTTTCGCCTCTGATTTTCATCAAAGAGCCTTACAATTCTTTCATTTGAAAGATGCAGTTCGGTTTGAAATTTGCGCGGTAATATAACGAGAGTAAGATGCTATATTTAACGCTAAGTGCGGTTAACGGTTAAAGAGTCATATCTTATCATCCGAAATTGAAAATCTTGCGCCTCGTCTCGGCATTGGGATAAAAATCGCGTTAAACGCACGGCTGGAACGTGGACATTGGCGCGTCGATCGTCAGCCCTTTTCAAGGTCACCGGGACGGGACACGCTGCGACGGGAGAGCGGAACGCCCGTGCGAGCTAACTTTCAAGAGATGCTACTTGTTATCTCCTTTCGAGGTACTCTAGTGCCTATGTTATTGTGTCTTCTGTTCTGCCTATAGCGCTAAAACCGCCGCTGAGAATTCGCGGCACCGAAGTGTGGCTGCTGCGGGAGCAACGGAGTGCGGAGAACCCTCCCCCTCCCCCTCCCCGGCGCCCTTTGAAACGCAACAATATAAATAATAACGTCGCGACACGTGTACGCGTTCAAAAGGTAAGAAAACGTTCTCTATCTCTAGCTTTCGTTCGTACATCCTCTTTCTTTATTTTCCTCTCTTTCTCCTTCCTTCGTCTACTCACTCTTCAATCTCCTCCCTCACATTCTTGCCCTGCAGGAGCTCTCTCGCTATCCTCTCGCGCACGTGCTATGTACGAGGGATAACGAAAAGCGTCGAGATGGCGAACGAAAAACGACAGTCTTACAAATTAAACGTGTCGATGCGTAAGTACGTTTAAGCGTCCATACACGATCCAGCAAGTACAACAACTGTGGCGAGTCGAGATCTTTGCAGACACGTTCGTTGTGAAATCGCAAAGTTGAAAAACAAACGTCACACACGATTTCATAAGAGAGTCTTGTCTCTTGGTATTAGATAAATTCGGCTACTTACGGGGATCATGTATGGCTTGCTTTAAGCGCGCATCGTTCATTCACTCATTATTCTCGATATGCAACAATCAATCGCGAACTTCGCAACAAAGATCCACGCTCTCGATCGAGACCCTTTCGCCTCCTTAAATAAGAACAATAACTTAGACTTCTGGCGTACGTATCATACAGGCTGTACACAAGAAAGAAGGAGAAATAAAATAGAAACAAGAGAACATCTCTCTCGCTTAATCAACATGTGTGTGGACGTATAATAGAATAACAAAAGCGCGTAACTCTCTCGGTCTGCCTCTCGCTCTCTCCAGTACACGCGTCTCCCACTTTTCTGATCTCTCTTAATCTCTGTTCTGATCTTTCTTAATCTCCGCGAGCCGCGAGTCGTCTTACACGTTCTCGGCGACTCGCGTCATGCGCGCTTTGATTGTATGCAGTGTTTATTTTTTGATCGTGCGTGATAAGTACACACTGTACACCTTTATGCCTCCCGTTTTCTTCCCCGCGCTCCCGCCAGTCATGCTCTCGCGGATAATTGCTGCCATGTGTCGAGGAACGGGAGTAACGGATGTCAGAATAAGAGCGAGGATTTAGAGCGAATGCGAAATATTTTGAAGGTATCATTCGGACATATCACGTGACGACTGTCCCTCGACTTTCGTGCTAATTATTTAACAGGAAAATCATTTCTAGCGATCTATTAACTGTTTTACCTTTCAACTGTTTTATTTTTTCCTTGTATATACAGTTGGAACTTTTATTGATTTTATTTCTGGCGAAACATTTGAAAAGCAAAATTTTATGAATTGAGCAGTGTTAGATTTTAAATTAATTCCAGAGATTGTGCTGATCAATTTACTGAAGTAGGATTTCTTGGTTTTGAGTGGAAGCTTTTTCTTTTGATTCGAAGATCTTCGAATAAGTTGACATGAAATTTATAAAATTGCCTTGATATAATTTGTCAATATTACTTATAAACTTTTTAATAAACGGATAAATAAAGTAGACGACACTTTATTGGTGTTTACGATACTAAATTGCTGCCAGCTTATTACAATTGAATGAGCACGCGATTATTCGACTACTTCAGATTTTTCTAACTAAATTCACTCATCTGATAAGTATCTATAATTTGACGAAATCGACAGTAGAAAATGTTTCGAGAAAACAATCAGCAGCACACTGATGAAACGTTTGCACTTTGGTTATTCTTAGTCTGTTGAGGACATTGGAATGCTCGTGCAAATTCTATCACACGCGACGATAATGGAGGGGTCGAAAGCTGTATCGTGCGATTATTGCAAGCAATATTGCTGTATTTAGTGGATATCGCCGTGGGAGATCCGTAATCGAGAGCATGACTTTCAAGAACGTCATGTTGTTGTAACTTCATCGCTAGTGTTGTGCGATCAACAAGTCCCTACCGTGCAATGTAAACTTGGGCGATTTCGAATTTTCCATACAAAAACACAAGCAGTCATTGCGTCGCGCAATTTCGATTGGCGAATTAATATTCGCGCGATATCGTTTCGGAACTGTACTACAGGGCCGGTCATTTGGAAGAACAGAAATATTTAGCGATGTCCCAATGCTGTACAAAATTTCTGGATATCCAGATCTCTTCTTTCTTCCGTTTATCCCTCTCTTACAAGTATTCTCATTCGACCAATGCTGGCAATGAAAGTGCTAATGTTAGTAGGATGGGCGACCTAATCGTCGTATGGGCTATCCTATGCCGAAGTAATTTGTTCAATAATTGATAATAGTGCGTATTAGAATTCGCTCGTCGAACGAGAGTTACGTTTGTTTTGTTCAGTGACAATCGGCCCCGAAGCTTCAACGTGACTACGATAGTTTTGAACCAGCCCCGCTGCGTCGATCGCGCAAACCACCCTGATCGCGGCTCGCATATATAAAATTATATTTACAACAGAGTGATTACTTCTTTGTGTTGAGGTATTCGCCCTAGGCGCGTCTAGAAAAAGAGTGTGCACTATTTCGAGGAGCGAGAGGGAAACTCCCGACGTTCAAGAGGACGCGAGGTTGTTTTTACCTTTGGCCCCTTGATTCGTCATCCTTCCAAACTCTCGCTCTGAAAAGGGAAAGATCTAGTCAGTTCTCCATCTCTTTCTCTTTTTTGTCGCATATGTTACATTGCTGTAGTCGCGATGCGCGCGCGCCCCCGCCATTAGAAATAATTTAAAAATTATATTATCCTATTTATATATCTCCTCGTCTCTCTCTCTCTCTCTCTCTCTCTCTCTCTCTCTCTCTCTTTCGCTCTTTTTCTCTCCCTTTTTCTCTTTCTCTCTCACATACATACACACATACTCTCCTACATACATACGCGCGCACACACACACACGCACACACACACACGCACACACACACGCAAACACACACGCACACACACACGCACACGCACACACACACACACACACACACACACACACTCACTCTCTCTCTCTCTCTCTCTCTCTCTCTCTCTCTCTCTCTCTCTCTCTCTCTCTCTTTATATATAGTTTTTTATGTATATATTAAATTTCAATTTTCTCGCCCTTGCGCACGCACGCACGGGAAAAAGTCTCGGTAACGATATCGCTATGATACAGCTATGCTACACAGGGGTGGAGTCTCCACCGGCTCTATTTACACGGCTCGCCAATTATTGTTTACTTTCTTACACGTGCGGTATGTATAAGGGATAGCGGTATTTTTATAGGATGTGCTAAAATGTGTGCCTGTACATCTCAGCACGAACACTTTCTCTCTCGCTCTCTCACGTCCTCCTGTCGTCTTGGTATATTTTGCAGTGTACCAAAAACGGCCCGAAATCCGTCCTTCGATAGACTTGTGAAATTGTCAAAAGCGTTTCAAATGGTTTCAAATGAATAAAAAATTCCACGAGTGGAATTTCTCGGAATTACATGCTGATCAAAAATTTTATTGTTTCGCACTTTCGAGTGTTACTTTACTCCACCATAAAAAAGGGAGGTATTACATCTTTTTCTGCGTCAAAATATCCCTTTCTACTTTTTTAATACTACGATTTGTCGAGGATGATAGTAAGAGAATCATTTCAATCATTTTACGCAGGATTGTATGCGTTTCGTGGGAGCGCATTGAAAAGGAGTTACACTACAGAGCTCTGTAATACAGAATTGTAATAATTACTCTTATTACAAGAGAATCGTAATGCAGATAAGTACATGATTATAGACGCAACGCTTTTTTTATGGTGGGACAAAGTAGCATCTCGAGGAACAAGTTAATGCCGGCTTACCGCAATCGAAGTGCCCCGCGAGTCGTCTCTACGTGCGACTACCAATCGATTCATATCGGCCGAAGGTCATTGATATTAGCGCGCGCGATATGACGATCTTGAGGCCGATTGCGATAATAGTGTACTTAATAATGAACGAGAATTATTTGTGTCACTCGCGTGCTGGAATCATCCGGTCGGGTGCTTGTTCGCGGTGAAGCCGGTGCTCGCCGAAACAGAGATTTGGAACAGCGGGGTTGCAACGGAGGTTTACGGGAGTATATCGTGTATTTTGGCTCTTGAATTTCCCAGGACGCAGCGGTCCTCGTTACGTTATTAAAGGCAGTAACACCGGCTTTGTCAGCGCAGCCGCGGCGTTACGACGATTATTTCCCGTTTCGAGAATGCGCGATCGCGATCGAAAACGCTACACTGAATTGTGGAGGCAGGATTCGTAGTTGGCGGTGGTATCCAATGTCGAAGCGAGCGACGCGCGTACGCCTAATATACGCGAGACGAGTTTCACCCAGGAGGTTCTTCGAGTCGAGAAAGAGCTGATCGATGCGTGATTTTTCTTCTCGGAGACCTCGGAGCCTCCCCGAGCCTCTTTTTCGACTCGACGTTTCTGCAACGCTCTTAGGAGTTACAAAAATAAAAGGTTCGCGCGCGCGCGCGCCTGAATCTTTGGTCGTGACAGCGCGAACACATGCATCTAGTGGCAATAATGGTGATGATATACTAATGATACGTGCGGTGGCATCTATACGGTCCTCGGTATCGGTCGTTTACGCACGTTGGAGTCTAAACGAGAAGATCCGCTCTGCAGATTGCGGACATTCTATCGTGTCACGCTACGTGGAATTAAATGGCAGTTTCTTCAAAAGAGAACAAAGGCAGGCAATAATGTCTCTTGCGAATTGATTGCAACAATCTCCAGGTATCGAGTACACATACCTTGTCCATTATTATTTCTTCAGAAAGACATCGAAAACGCTAAACTTAACTTATGTAACGAGAGATATGTGTGCAGAATTTATTTGGTACAAAGATTTCCAAGATGGCTTAATTGTTTTTTTTTTCTTTTTTACCTGTGCATCGCGTTGGATGTATGTTTTTAATTCACATAAGGCAATGGTAACGGCATCAATACCGATGCTTCGCTCAATTTGGTCAGTTTTTGTTTTTTTTCTTACATATCTTGTGATATTATTCCTTTCTGCTATACCGATAAATTGGATTATTATTATATTTTGCATGTTAGGACGATGTATTCGTTATATGTACAAATGGCCGGAGACTCCAACGTGCATCGTTCTTTCTTTCCGCCGGAATGCGGAGTACATGGTCCGAGGACTCGGTGTTATTCTACCGTGCGTGCGCTTATTACATCTCGAGACTGTCGAAAATGTGCGTGTGCCGCTTCGCGCGAAGACTTCCTAAAGCGTCGTTAGTACGAAAAGTGATTATCATCGGACTAGAAACGCGGCATACCGCGCAGTAATCTATCGTTTCCTGTACACGCGAGCGGATTTGTCCCTACGAGCGCGGGACGAATCTAATTACACGTTTCGTCATATCAAAGTTTGTACGAAACTCGCTGGCCGGTTGGACATGCCCGACCGTTTTAGGATTAGTCTGGCAGTGGATCGGTTAATCTGACCGTGAAGCACCCATAATCAAAGCCCTTCGAGTCCGCAATCTGCATGATTTATCCGATTCAACGTTCTAGTTGTGATTTTCGGATATAATATAATCCATATACATGTTACGTTTTTGACACAATTGCATTGTTCTTACCAAACTTTGGCTAACCACCAGTTGGATTAATGACGACGCGCTGAAAGCTTCGTCCTTTCTAACGAGACCGATTCCGGATGTCCGAATTAAACTCTATAGTGAGGTAGAATCTCCTGCCAAAATACATTTCAGTAGCAGATGTCAGCGTTTGAAATTATTATCTTTTCATAAATTTTATTTTCAAGAATCGCACGTTAGTTTCAATTTCGCGCCGGCACACACAAGTTCGAAGTATAATTTCCGAGACAAACCGTGCAGATTTCAAGACCAGGCGGTTCGATTCCGAGTGTTTCGTGCTACTTGTCTATTTGCAAAATTACTTATCGTTTGCTCGGAAGTGCAATAATCGCGCTGATCGCCGAGGACATCCCGGCGCTGCAAAATCCACGATTGATAGCCGCACGACTCGCGGGCGACGATGTTACAACGAGAACGAGATCGACTCGTTCGTTGCGATAAACGCTCTTTACGCGTGAATTACAAAGGATCAGACTAAAAAGGTAAAAGTAATTGCGTTAGCGTCCTTTGGTACCAGCCTGAGTCTCATTGGATTACAAATAAATTTGTTAAATAGTCTTGCATGTGGGCTATATAAATCACTAAGAGATCACTGTGTCCTTTTTCTCATCGAGTCCGAATCGCTGAATTCGTTCGCGGTTTTTCTCGTCACCTCGACAACCGATGAGATATCCCCTCTCTCTCTCTCTCTCTCTCTCTCTCTCTCTCTCTCTCTCTCTCTCTCTCTCTCTCTCTCTCTCTTCCTCTCCTGCTCTCACGCGCGTGCGCGTGCACGCATTCAACCGCTATCGCTCGATTCGCCGAAGCAAAGGAGGTATCTTTATTGACTCTTAACCGTGGACGTTGAAGTATCAAAATACAACAGTTCAACACAGCCGAGGGTGTGTTTCTCCTTGCGAAATCGGAGTTTCTCAATCAACGAGCGCACTCGTCTCATCTCAACCTATCAACCGATCGACCTCTAAGAAATGCAATCCTCTCTAAGAAATACGATCGACATCTTGTATTCTCTCTCCCTGCCGCCCTGCCCCCTCTCCTTCTCACTCTCTGCTCTCCGTTTTCCTCTCCTCTCCCAGCGAGAGCACGTTTCGAAGGAAACTCTTTATCTCGATGCGAGGAGACGATGTCCCATTAGGACACGATATAGTCCGCGGAGTGATGCGAATGATGAGAGTTCCGGTGCTTGTCCCTGCGATGATTCGTCCTGGAGTTGCTGCCGC